ACTGAATTTGGCACATAGACCCACCATGACCCATTTTAGATCCTGGTGTGGTTTGGGGGAGTACAGACCACGGATGATGGGATTTGCAGCACCTTCACTCACTTCCTGAGACCACTGTGACCCTCATCCAATGACCGATAAAGACCATGGGGGCTCTGTGTCTTGGCACACAGAGGCCCCATGACCCATTAACCCCCAAGCAAACCATTTTCACATGAAGCACCTCTTACCTTGGGAAGGAATACGGTGGAGGTGGCCGGCAACGGTGCTGGGTTGCAGTATTTTCTTTTACATAGGCACTTCCGAACAGGGAGCGCCAGCGGAGCAGCAGGCCTAGAAAAAAAGGGGAAGAGAAGGAGGGAGAGTATTGGCCTCGTCTCTCAGCAGAGAAACCCGACCCCCAGGTTGAGAAACACTGGCCTAAGCAGTTTGAAACCACTGTGAGCTGTGAGTAGAGAAATTAGGCAGGGAGGTATTTTACGGCACCATAAAAAAAAGAAATACCAGACTCTTGACACAAGTAAAAGTTCAACCTTCACACATGAGACCTTCTCATATCGAGGCCTACCTCACACTCTGAGGCCTACTTCACACCTCTCCCACTGAGGCGTCCTCTCACACAGAGAAGCTTCTCTCACACTGAGAGCTCTCACAGACCGAGGTGTTACTAAGCAACAAGCTTATACAAGGGTTGAATGAAAAGTACTGCCTCCACCTTCATAACTCCTTAACAGATGGCAGTACTAGTATGTGGCAGGTACTGGCTTGTTCAGAAGACTCTCCTCTACAGTTCCATTTTGCCAGGAAGCCTTAGCATTGGTTGTGTTGTTAAAGTGCGAAGTATGGAACCCTGGTCAATGTGACTTAAGCAATGTGCAGTCGGTTGTTGTAGGTTTTTTGGGCTATCTAGAAGCATTCTCTCCTGACATTTTGCCTACATCTATGGCAAGCATCCTCAGAGGCTGTGAGGTCCTTGAATTCTTGACAGCAGAAGGTGTCACCCTAAAGGAGATTTATCAGAGAATGCAAGCTGTTTCTGGTGAATGTGTTGAGGTGAGTACTGTGCATCGTTGGGCGAGTAAGTTTAAAGATGTTGAGGTGGGAACATCTGACTTGCATGACAAACAAACAATTGGATGTCCTGTGACAGCAACCACCGAGTTTCACAAGCAAAAGGTTGACAGAATGATTCAGGACGATCATCGTAACAGAAAGAAATTTCAAGCATAATTGCCATTTCACAAGAACGTATGGGTCACATGATTGCTTTGCTTGGCTATTGGGAGATCTGTGCACAATGGGTACCCAGGATGCTGACGCCTGAAATGAAAGCGCACGGACTTGAAACTTCAGAGACTGGATCTCACCACTGTACGACATCCTCCATACAGTCCAGATTTAGTACCGTCTGATTTCCATCTGTTCCTGATAATGAAAGAATATCTGCGGGGACATCATGATGCTTCTGATGAAGACGTTGAGAGAACTGGGAGAAGCTGGTTGTGTCAACTTCTTCCATGACAGCTTCAGAAAACTTGTTCATTGTTGGCAGAAATGTATCTGATTGTCTGGTGGTTATGTGGAAAAGCGAATAGTGGATGATTTCTGCGTTTAATAAAATATTCCCATCCGAACCCAAGTAGTGAAGGTGGAGGCATTACTTTTCATTCAACCCTTGTATCGAACCGCGGCTTCTCTGAGTCACTGCATCCATTTAACCCTTTCGGTGCTTCACTCGAGCACAACCTCCAGGACACCGAAGGTGGGAAAAATGCCAACCTAGACCTCTCTCTGTTGTGTGTCCTGTCCGTTTAGCAGCACTGAATGTTGCCCGTGTGTGTGTTCTGCGATCCGCCCTGAGACGGCGTGAGAAGGGCGGAATTGAAGTGCCGTAAAGAAATAAACAGGCGGAGGTATTATGTTGGCGTTTTCCCCAACTTCGGCATCCCGGAGGTTGTGCTCGATTCCGGCCACCGGGGGCGCTGTCGCTCCATCCTCTCTGTCGAAGAGCCCTCGATCGCAGACTTCCTCCTTCCGTTCATCGCCAGCATTTCTCTGGTGCCGTAAAAAGGAAGAGCCGCCAAACAAGACAGCGGAAAATCCTGCTGCCTGGGAGTCTGGTGGAGTCTCCTTCGCTGGATTTTTTTCAGCAGAGGCGGGATGGGCATCTATCGGGAAGGCTCTATCCAATCTTTCTTCACAGAGACATCGACGCCTTCTCACCTTCTCTTTCCCGTCCTCTCGTCTTGCTGAAGCTCCAGTTCCATTTCCTCAGCCTTCCTCTTCTTGGCCGGGACCAGGGCAAGAAGAGTCACCTCCGGAAGAGGAGGAGGCCGCTGGGCCACACTGACCGGAAAGAAATGGGAAGTAGAGCTGAAAGGCAGGGCCTGGGTTTCCTCCGCCCCTCTTCCTCTTCCCTTCCTTCTCTTCCTTTCCTCCCTCCCTTTCCCTCATACACCTCCTCCCCCTTCGTTCATCCTTTCTTTCCTCATTACCTTTCCTCCCCTTCTCTTCCTCTCTTTCTTCTTTTCCCTTCTTTCCTTCCCTCCCTCCCTTCTTCCTTCCCTCTCTTCTTTGCTTCCTTCCTTTTCCTTCCCTTTTCCTTTCTTTCCTTCCTTCCTTCTGTCACAAACCCTCTTTTCTTTCTTTACTTCCCTTGCTTTCTCTCATAACACATCCCCCCTCTTTTCTCTTCCTTTCTTTTCTTTTCCTTTCTCTTCATTTCTTCCACTCTTTTCTTTCCTTCCCTTACTTTCTCTCGTAACACCTTCTCCCTCTTCTCTTCCTTCCCTCTCTCTCAGTCCCTTTTCTACCTCTCCTTTCTCTTTATTCATTCTCTTCTTTCCTTCCCTCTCTTCTTTGCTTCCCTCCTTTTCCTTCCCCTTTTTCTTTCCTTCCTTCCTTCTGTTGCAAGCCTTCTTTTCTTTTCTTCCTCCCTCTTTTCTTTCTTTCCTTCCCTTGCTTTCTCTCGTAACACCTTCCCCCTTTTTTCTCTTCCTTCCCTTTCTCGCTCCCTTTTCTTCCTCTCCTTCCTGTTCATTCTTTCTCTTCCTTCCTTCTCTCTCTTCTTTGCTTCCTTCCTTTTCCTTCCCTGTTTCCTTCCTTCCTTCTGTCACAAACCCTCCTTTTCTTCCTCCCTCCCTCTTTCCTTTCTTTCCTTCCCTTGCTTTCTCATAACACCTTCCCACCTTTTCTCTTCCTTCCCTCTCTCTCTTAGTCCCTTTTCTTCCTCTGGGCCTAACAGCAGGAGCTGGGCCTAACGGCAGGAGCTCACCCCACTCTCTGGTTTTGAAAGGCTGACCTTTCAAATACAGGAGAGCTTTGGGGAAAACTGGGAGTTGTAGTTCACTTACAACCAGAGGCACTGTGAGCACTGCCGAGGACGGATCTGGACCTAACGTGGCTCACAGAACCCCTATGCCCAACTCAACCTACTGGAGGGGCTTAAGGGGACCGATCTACCAAGGCTGCCAAGACTTACGAGGGGATGGAAGGTGTGGGGCTGGTGGCTGTGTAGCTCTGGGACACTCTGCGGCGAATGGTTATGATGGTATTGATGTTCCTCACGCTGACCTGGGTGGCTGAGGTGTCCATTTCCCTCAAGAAGCTTGAGAGGCTGTCCCTGGGGTTCCTGCAAAGGGGCAAGAGAAGAATCCTGGGGTTGGTCTCTCGCCTTTGCCCGCCAGGAAAGAAGCCAGGTCCCAGGAGCCAAGGAGCGGAAGGAGAGGCTGCCCGGCAGAGGAGACTTACGCGCAGGAGTACAACGGGCCGCCATATCGTCCTTGGTAGCCTGGAGGACACTCTGGGCTCAGGTCCAGCTCCAGGATCTTGTTCACATGGACTGTTGTCGAGCCAGGCGTCAACCACTGTGTATATTTGCGTGTTAAGAAGGGGGTTGTCTCTCGCTTTCGCCCATCAAGTAAAAAGCCAGGTCCCAGGAGCCAGGAGTTGCTGGGATGTATAGTTCCCCTGCCAATCAAGAGCATTCTGAACTCAAACAACCATGGAATGGTACTGAATTTGGAGCACATGCCTGATATGCTTACAGTGGATGACTGGAGGGCTTTGAGGGGAACTTACCTTTGTTTCTGAGAGTTGTAGTTCACTCACAACCAGAGAAACCCAACCTCCACCCATGAGGGACCTGGATCAGACCTGGGTGGCTAGGCCGTGTGGGGAGCCTTCCCCTGGCCCCTTCCGAGAATGGCAAGGGCGAGGGCCGAGTGGAGGCTTCCCGGTCTGCTAGGCCGCATTTGGAGCCTTCCCCTCTACCCTCGCCCATTCCGAGCCAAGCAGGGGGTGAGGGCCAAGTGGGGAAGGCTCCCCGGTCTGCTAGGCCGCATTTGGAGCCTTCCCCTCTACCCTCGCCCATTCCGAGCCAAGCAGGGGGTGAGGGCCAAGTGGGGAAGGCTCCCCGGTCTGCTAGGCCGCATTTGGAGCCTTCCCCTCTACCCTCGCCCATTCCGAGCCAAGCAGGGGGTGAGGGCCAAGTGGGGAAGGCTCCCGGTCTGCTAGGCCGCATTTGGAGCCTTCCCCTCTACCCTCGCCCATTCCGAGCCAAGCAGGGGGTGAGGGCCAAGTGGGGAAGGCTCCCCGGTCTGCTAGGCCGCATTTGGAGCCTTCCCCTCTACCCTCGCCCATTCCGAGCCAAGCAGGGGGTGAGGGCCAAGTGGGGAAGGCTCCCCGGTCTGCTAGGCCGCATTTGGAGCCTTCCCCTCTACCCTCGCCCATTCCGAGCCAAGCAGGGGGTGAGGGCCAAGTGGGGAAGGCTCCCCGGTCTGCTAGGCCGCATTTGGAGCCTTCCCCTCTACCCTCGCCCATTCCGAGCCAAGCAGGGGGTGAGGGCCAAGTGGGGAAGGCTCCCCGGTCTGCTAGGCCGCATTTGGAGCCTTCCCCTCTACCCTCGCCCATTCCGAGCCAAGCAGGGGGTGAGGGCCAAGTGGGGAAGGCTCCCCGGTCTGCTAGGCCGCATTTGGAGCCTTCCCCTCTACCCTCGCCCATTCCGAGCCAAGCAGGGGGTGAGGGCCAAGTGGGGAAGGCTCCCCGGTCTGCTAGGCCGCATTTGGAGCCTTCCCCTCTACCCTCGCCCATTCCGAGCCAAGCAGGGGGTGAGGGCCAAGTGGGGAAGGCTCCCCGGTCTGCTAGGCCGCATTTGGAGCCTTCCCCTCTACCCTCGCCCATTCCGAGCCAAGCAGGGGGTGAGGGCCAAGTGGGGAAGGCTCCCCGGTCTGCTAGGCCGCATTTGGAGCCTTCCCCTCTACCCTCGCCCATTCCGAGCCAAGCAGGGGGTGAGGGCCAAGTGGGGAAGGCTCCCCGGTCTGCTAGGCCGCATTTGGAGACTTCCCCTCGATCCTCACCCTTTCTGAGCCAAGCAGGGGGTGAGGGCCGAATGGGGAAGGCTCCCCGGTCGGCTAGGCTGCATTTGGAGCCTTCCCCTCAACACTTGCCCCTTCTGAGCCAAGCAGGGAGTGAGGGCCAAGTGGGGAAGGCTCCCTCGGTCGGCTAGGCCGCATGAGGAGCCTTCCCCTCAACCCTCGCCCTTTTCTAGCCTGGCAAGGACGAGGGCCGAGTGGGGAAGGCTCCCCTGGTCTGCTAGGCCGCATTTGGAGCCTTCCCCTCAACCCTCGCCCTTTCTGAGCCAAGCAGGGGGTGAGGGCCAAGTGGGGAAGGCTCCCCGGTCTGCTAGGCCGCATTTGGAGACTTCCCCTCGATCCTCACCCTTTCTGAGCCAAGCAGGGAGTGAGGGCCAAGTGGGGAAGGCTCCCTCGGTCGGCTAGGCCGCATGAGGAGCCTTCCCCTCGACTCTCAACCCTTTCTAGCCCGGCAAGGGCAGAGTGGGGAAGGCTCCCTGGTCTGCTAGGCCGCATTTGGAGCCTTCCCTCAGACCTGGCCGAGGGGGCTTCACAACCCCCAGGAAATGGCCCGAGGTCCCCCAGGTTGAGAACCGGTGGGCTAAACAGACCCAGCTCTTAGAGGAAATAATAATGACCTCACCACCTCTGAGGATGCTTGCCATAGATGCAGGTGAAACGTCAGGAGAAAATGTCTCTAGAACATGACCCTATAGCCCGAAAAAAACTACAACAACCCAGTGATTCCAGCCATGAAAGCCTTCGACAATACAAAATCTTTTTTTTTTTGAGTGATGGTCATTCCTTGGGTTAGTAGGTGTCTTGCGACCAAATTTGGTGGCAATTTGTCCAGTGGTTTTTGAGTTATGTTAATCCCACAAATGAACATTACATAGACTACATTTATATAAAAGTATATACCATACGTCCCCTACCACACGTTGTTGTGGACCAGCCTGTGTTTTGTGTGTGTATATATATTTGTGTATATTTGTGTATTGTGTATATGTGTATATATGTGTGTTTGCATTTATATATGTGGTTTTGCACGTGCATTGTAATATGTATTTTTATTTTTTGGCTTTTTAAGTCCCTTTCGTTGCGTTTTTCCATGTTTTTATGACTGATGGTCACTTTTTGGTCTGAGAGGTGTATTGTGTCCAAATTTGGTGTCAATTCGTCCAGTGGTTTTTGAGTTATGTCAATCCCACAAACGAACATGATGTTTTTATTTATATAGATAATAATACATTTAAATTTATTACTATTGATAATATATTAATAATGTTGGTGGGCAGGAAAAGAGATTGAAAGATGGGCTCAAAGCCAACCTTAAAAACTCTGGCGTAGACACTGAGAACTGGGAAGCCCTGGCCCTTGAGCGCTCCAGCTGGAGGTCAGCTGTGACCAGCAGTGCTGCAGAATTTGAAGAGGCACGGATGGAGGGCGAAAGGGAGAAACGTGCCAAGCGGAAGGCACGTCAAGCCAACCCTGACCAGGACCACCTTCCACCTGGAAACCAATGTGCGGGAGAACATGTATGTCAAAGATAGGGCTCCACAGTCACCTACGGACCCACTGCCAGTAGAATCATAGAATCAAAGAGTTGGAAGAGACCTCGTGGGCCATCCAGTCCAACCCCCTGCCAAGAAGAAGGAATATTGCATTCAAATCACCCCTGACAGATGGCCATCCAGCCTCTGTTTAAAAGCTTCCAAAGAAGGAGCCTCCACCACACTCCGGGGCAGAGAGTTCCACTGCTGAACGGCTCTCACAGTCAGGATGTCTTCCTGAATCTCCTCTCTTGTAGTTTGAAGCCATTGTTCCATTGCGTCCTAGTCTCCAAGGAAGCAGAAAACAAGCTTGCTGCTCCCTCCTCCCTGTGGCTTCCTCTCACATATTTATCCATGGCTCTCATCATGTCTCCTCTCAGCCTTCTCTTCTTCAGGCTAAACATGCCCAGCTCCTTAAGCCGCTCCTCATAGGGCTTGTTCTCCAGAGCCTTGATCATTACAACAAACCTGGAAGACAATCCTACTCAGACAACTGGATTTCAGGCTGCATAGGTCAACAGCAAGCTAGACTATTAATGGTTGGGAGCTCAATCCAACCTGGGCTTGCTTTGAACTCATGACCTTTTGGTCAGTAGAGATTTAATGCAGCTGGCTACTAACTAGTTGCTCCACATATATAGTTATTATATTATATGTATAGTTATTATAACTAATAGTAATATATTTATTATTAATGATTATAATATATAATCATAATATATTATTATTATATTAATCATCATATCTTAGACTCAAAACCCACATTTATAGTTATTCTATAATATGTGTAGTTATTATAACTAATAGTAATATATTTATTATTTATGATTGTAATATATAATAATATATTATTATATTAATCATCATATCTTAGACTCAAAACCCACATATATAGTTATTGTATAATATGTATTGTTATTATAACTAATAGTAATATATTTATTATTAATGATTATAATATATAATAATATATTATTATATTAATCATCATATCTTAGACTCAAAACCCACATATATAGTTATTGTATAATATGTAGTTATTATAACTAATAGTAATATATTTATTATTAATGATTATAATATATAATAATATATTATTATATTAATCATAATATCTTAGACTCAAAACCCACATATATAGTTATTATATAATATGTATAGTTATTATAACTAATAGTAATATATTTATTATTGATTATAATATATAATAATAATATATTATTATATTAATCATATCTTAGACTCAAAACCCACTTATATAGTTATTATATAATATGTATTGTTATTATAACTAATAGTAATATATTTATATAATAATAATAATAATAATAATATATTATTATTATTATTATTACATTAATCCTCATATCTTAGACTCAAAACCAATTGTGTTTTTTTAAGAAATGTACTGGAAAGTCATTCCAAACATATGAAAATACTCCAAAAACTAAATAAAAAGCCAATCCAGAGCCTGGGACGATGTATTTATTTAAAAATTGAGGGTGGGGGGAAAAAACAAAACACATTTGACACGTAAAAAATAATCCCTCGGGGGAGAAAAAAAAAAAAGAAGACCCCTGCGTTGAATACCTTCATGAAAAGCCTTGTGTGAATGGAGTGGGAGGGGCTCCCAGGAGAAAGCCCCGCCCCCTTTGGGCCCTTCCTTGGGTCACTTTGGGGCCCCAATGCACTCCCATGTTTTTATGATGGAACTTGAGGTAGTTTGGGGCCCCAGGGGGCGGAGCCATGAGAGAAGGGGCGGAGCCAAGAGAGAAGGGGCGGAGCTTCTGCGCACCTCTCTCTTGGGGGCCCCCCATTCATTCCCCATTGGGTTCTGGCGCCCCTTTGGCAGTGTGCGCATGTGAAAGGGCCCCCCAAAGGCCATCTAGTCCAACCCCTTTCTGTCTGCCGTGACGCAGGAACAGCACCACCTGATCCCTCCCGACAGATGGCCACCCAGCCTCTGTTCCCAATCCCCCAAAGAAGGAACTCCACGGCAGACAGTGCCATCAAACATTCGAACTGGATTATTATCCAAGTCTACACTGCCATTTAATCCAGTTCAGAGCAGATAATAATCTCTCTCTTAGGACATCCTTTCGGATATTTAAACAGGGCTCCTCTTGGCCTTGTCTTTGGAGGCTGAACAGACCCAGCTCTTTAAGAAGGAATAATAATAATAATAATAATAATAATACTCATTGTCTCCAGACTTTTGACCCTTTCCGTCTGGACACTTCCCAGTTTAAGAGTCAATTTCCTTTTTAAATGGTGGGGCCCACCATTATTATTATTATTATTATTATTATTACTCCAAGTGAAGAGGAAACATGTTCTCTTTGGAGGCTGAACAGACGCAGCTCTTTAAGAAGGAATAATAATAATAATAATAATAATAATAATAATAATAATACCCATTGTTTCCAGACCTTTGACCCTTTCCCTCTGGACACTTCCCAGTTTAAGAGTCAATTTCCTTTTTAAATGGTGGGGGCCACCATTATTATTATTATTATTATTATTATTATTATTATTCCAAGTGAAAAGGAAACATGTTCTCTTCGGAGGCTAAACAGACCCAGCTTTTGAAGAGGGATTAATAATAATAATAATAATAATAATAATAATAGAAACATTCATTGGATGCAGGGCAATGTCCCTTTTAAATGGTGGGGCCCACCATTGGACATAGGGATATTATTATTATTATTTCAAGTGAAGGGGAAACGTGATCTCTTCGGAGGTTAAACAGAGCCAGCTCTTTAAGAAGGATTAATAATAATAATAATAATAATAATAATAATAATAGAAATATCATTTGGACACAGGGCAACACCCCTTTTAAATGGTGGGGCCCACTATTGGATATAGGGCTATTATTATTATTATTATTATTATTCCAAGTGAAGAGGAAATGTTCTTTTTGGACCCAGTTCTTTGAGAGATTAATAGTAATAGTAATAATAATAATAATAATAATAATAATAATAATAGATATATTCATTGGTCACAGGGCAATGCCCCTTTTAAATGGTGGGGTCCACCATTGGATGCAAAGCAATTATTATTCCAAGTAAAGAAAAATGTTCTCTTTGGAGACTAAACAGACCCAGTTCTTTAAGGGAAGAAGGAGAAGGAGAATAATAATAATAATAATAGAAATATTCATTGGATGCAGGATAATGTCCTTTTAAACATAGGGCTTATTATTATTATTATTATTATTATTACTACTACTACTATTATTGCAAGTGAAGAGGAAACATGTTCTCTTCGGAGGCTAAACAAACCCAATTCTTTAAGACTGATTGATAATAATAATATTAATAACATTAATTGGTCGCAGGTCAATGCCCCTTTTAAATGGTGGGGTCCACCATTGGATGCATGGCTATTATTATTGACACAAAAGCACAGTATGTCACAGCAAACGAGATCTATATGCTGGATTTCGTATCACAAAATCACAAGTCGAACACTTCCCAAGCATCTAGGACTGTGCTATTATTATTATTATTATTATTATTATTATTATTATTATTATCCCAAGTGCAGAAGAAATGTTCTTTTCGGACCCACCTCTTTGAGGGATTAGTAATAATGAATAATTATTAATAGAATAGTAATAGAAATGTTCATTGGACGCAGGTCAATGCCCCTTTTAAATAGTGGAGCCTACCATTGAATGCAGGACTATTATTATTATTATTATTATTATTATTCCAAATGAAGAGGAAATGTTCTCTTCGGACCCAAATCTTTGAGAGAGTAATAATAATAATAATAATAATATTCTTTGGACGGAGGACAATGCCCCTTTTAAATTGTGGGGCCCACCATTGAATGCAGGATTATTATTATTATTATTATTATTATTATTATTATTATTATTATTCCAAATGAAGAGGAAATGTTCTCTTCAGACCCAACTCTTTGACAGATTAATAATAATAATAATAATAATAATAATAATAATAGAAATATTCTTTGGACGGAGGGCAATGCCCCTTTTAAATTGTGGGGCCCACCATTGGATGTAGGACTATTATAATTATTATTATTATTCCAAGTGAAGAGAGAGAAAGGGAGACTAACTTCCTTGCCCTCTCCCTCCTGTGGTCATAGGGTCATTCCAGGTCACAAGGCCGGCCTTAAAGGGGGCAAAGGCAAGGAGGCGTAGTCCTAGACCTGGCTTTGAAGGCTTTGGCCCCCGCTTTTGGGGATCCAGCCCCATTATTATTCCCTTTGAGGCTCACAGTGATGGGGAGGGGGTGTGGGGCATTGCAATGGCAGCCCCCCAGGGTCAATTGCCCAGCGCAAAAGGCAGTGTCGGTCCCCAAAGAATGTCCCAAACTCAAAGGCAAGGTCCCTATTTCCCGTAATCCCTTCTCCCACCCACCCCGCTCCCTTTTAAGACCCTCAGCTGTGTATTGCTGGCTGGGAATACAGTAAATGCTCCAAAGCGGGCAGATTCCCCCGTTCCTGGAATGTCTCCTTGGTCAACGTAGGCCGTGGCGGTGGTTCTTCCAAGCGGAGGAAGGTCCAGAAGGAGTCCCCAAAGGAGGAGGAAGTGGACGAGGAAGAGGACGAGGAAGGGGGGCTCTCCTCTGGCTGCCTCTTTAAGGGGCGAAATCAGCACCTGCAACAACAACAGAAGTAATAGTCATAGAAGCAGAAACCAGCATTTTCCCTGGTTTATTTGCATATATATATACATACAATATATTATATTAATAGCATAGTACAATATTAGTGTTATATATTACTATATTGTATTATACAATTATATTGTAATATTATTAGTAATATTACATGTAATATAAAATATATAATTATAATATATTATTATTAGTAGTATTATGAGTTATAAATATTATAATGTACGTACAATATATTATTAGTAAAGCACAGGAGACAAAACGTCTGTCTGTATTCATTTGCTCTCCACCGTTTTCTCTCCCACCAACCCCAGATCATCTTTCACATTATTGGGTTGTGGTCTGAGAATACCCAAGGTATCAATTCAACTTCTACAGTTTTCATTATCGAATCCCTTGTAGCAAAGATAGAGTCAATCCTTGATGAGGTACCAGACCTATGTGGATAGTGAATATTCTTTTCTATTTGGCTTCTGTTGTCTCCACAATTCATACAATTTCCGTTGTTGTTGTTGTTGTTGTTGTTGTTATTATTATTATTATTATTATTATTATTCTACTTTCCTGCTTGGTGGAAGGATGCTTGGACTAAATGACCCTTGGGATCTCTTCCAACTCTAGGAGTTCAATAAATAATAGTTATTATTATTATTATTATTATTATTATTATTATTATTATTATTCTACCTCCCTGCTTGGTGGAAGGGTGCTTGGACCAAATGGGATTAATAATAATAATAATCATCATCATCATCATCATTAGAGGTGGAAGAGACGCCAAGAACCATCCCATCTAACCAACCTTCTGCCAAGCAGGAAGGTATTATTATTATTATTATTATTATTATTATTATTATTATTATCAACATCATCAATTATTATTATCATCAGACTTCCAGAAGTGCAGGAAACCCCAACCACCCTACTTCCATAATGGAAGATAGAATTACTATTATTATTATCATCATCATCATCATCAATTATTATTATCAGACTTCTAGAAGTGCAAGAGACCCCAACCATCCTACTTCCATAAAGGAAGATAGAATAATAATAGTAATAATAYTAATAATAATAATAATAATWATAATWATTATTATTATTATTAGAGATGGAAGAGACCCCAAGGACCATCCAGTCCAACCAACCTTCTGCCAAGCAGGAAGGTAGAATTATTATTATTATTATTATTATTATTATTATTATTATTATTATTATTATTATTATCATCAGACTTCTAGAAGTGCAAGAGACCCGAACCACCCTTCTTCCATAAAGGAAAATATTATTATTATTATTATTATTAGAGGTGGAAGAGACTCCAAAGACCATCCAGTCCAACCATCCTTCTGCCAAGCAGGAAGGTAGAATCATTATGATTATCATCATCATCATCAATTATTATTATCATCAGACTTCTAGAAGTGCAATACACCCCAACAACCCTTCTTCCATAAAGGAAAATAGAATTATTATTATTATTACTATTATTATTGGGTTGTTGTAGGTTTTTCGGGCTGTATGGCCATGTTTTAGAAGCATTCTCTCCTGATGTTTCACCTCCATCTATGGCAAGCATCCTCAGTGAGGTCCTCACAACCTCTGGAGATGCCTGCTATAGATGCAGACAAAATGTCAGGAAGGAATGCTTCTAGATCATGGCCATACAGCCCAAAAAAACCTACAACAACCCAGTGATTCTGGCCATGAAAGCCTTCGACAATACATTATTATTATTATTGAAATATTATTATTATTGAAAATCAAAATCCTCTTTTCCATAGATGTTCTTCCCTAAAGGAAGGTAGAATTACTATTACTATTATTATCAATAGTGACGATGATGATGATTGCAAGTCGGCCTCCTCTTTCCCACGATTGTTCTCACCGTTCTGCTCCCAGCCTTCGGCCACTCCGGCCAGTTCGTAGTGCTTCTTGCGCAGGCCGCCCAGGCGCTGGCGCTCCTTCTGCAGATGGCTCTCCAGCTCCAGGACGCGCACCTGAAGTGGAAGAAGGAAGGAAGGAAGGAAAGAAAGAAGGAAGGAAGGTGGAGACCCCCTCCCCCATTGCAATTAGCGGTCCCAGGTGGGAGTCCATTTACCTGTGAGTCCATTTCCTGGCGCTTGATCTGCGTGAGCGTCATGGCGGAGAAGTCCATGCTGTCTGCAACAGGAGGGAAGCATTCATAAAACAGGTAGAAAAGGGCACTAGTTCAGAACTCTCTGATGTGAGGTGAGGCTAACTACTCTTTTGGCTCATTAACGAAAGGAAGGAAGGAAGGAAGGAAGGAAGGAAGGAAGGAAGGAAGGAAGGAAGGAAGGAAGGAAGGGAGAAAAGTAAAAACAATAGGGAGGAAAGGAAAGGAAGGAAGGGAAGGAAGAAAGAAAGAGGTAAGAAACAGAGAGGAAAGGGAGAAAGGAAAGACAGGGAGGTAGGAAACAGGGAAGGAGAATAGGAAGAAATAATGATAAGGAGAAAAGGAAGAGGGAATGAAAGAAAGAAAAAAAGAAAGAAAGTAGGAAAAGGCGATGGAGGGAAGGGAAAAGGGATAAATAACAATAGAGAAGGGAGAGGGGAAGGAAGGAAGGAAAAAGGGAGGTAGGGAAAAGAGAGAAATAATAGGGAAGGAAGAAAAGAAAAAGAATAAGAAGAAGGGAGGTTGGAAAAAAGATGGAAGGGAAAAGGGAGAAATAACGATAGGGAGGAAAGGGTGAGGGAAGGAAGAGAAAAAAGACAGAAGGAAGGAGAGGGAAAGAGGGAAGGGAAAAGGAGAAATAACAATAGGGAGGAAAGGCAGAGGGAAGGAAGGAAAGAAGGGAGGGAGGAAGAAGGGCGGGAAGGCAGGAAAAAGAGGGGAGGGAAAAGGGAGAGCAAAGGAAGAGAAGAAAGAAGGGAGGTAGGAAAAGAAGGGAAGAAAGAAAGGGAAAAAGTAGAAAAAATGATAGAGAGAAAAGGGAAAGGAATAGAAGGAAGGAAGGAAAAAGGGAAAGAGGAAAGGGAAAAGAGAAATAAGGATAGCGAGGAAAGGGAGAGGGAAGAAAGAGAGAAAAGGGAAGGAAGGATGGAAGGAAGAAAAGAAAGAAAAGTAGGAAAAAGAGGGAAAGAGAAAAGGGAGAAAGACAGGAAACAAGAAAATAGGGAAAGAAAAAAAGGAGAAATCAAGGTAGGGAGGAAACAGAGAGGGAAGAAAAAGTGAAGGAAGGAGGAAACATTTGAGGGTTGGAAGACAAGAAAGGGAGAAAGAAATGCAGGTAGCAAAGAGAGGGAAGAAGAAAAGGGAGAAAGGCAGGTAGGAAATAGAGATGAGAATAAAGGAGAGAGAAAGCAAGGTAGGAAACAGGGAAAGAAGAGAAGAAGGGGAGGAAGAAAGGGAAGGGATTGATAAGGTGTGTCCTAGTGCTTTGCACCTGAGAGTGTGGCTAGGGAAGTCACGCTCTCTCAGCCCCAGAGGGAGAAGACAAGGGAGATTCCCCTTGGAATGAATCTTGACATTGAAAACTGTGAAAGGATCACCGTGGGGGAGCTTTGAGCCTGAAATGCCGTGAAGGCCCACGACAACAACAAGGACAACAACAAGGACAACAACAACACTGACCGGTCTCCTGGGCCTGGGACTGGGCGGCCTTGGTGGAGGCCACCACTCCAGCCGTGGCCTGATTGACCCCTCGGGAGGCGGCCTGGAGGCGGCGCAGGTTGCCACTCTCCTTGTCGGCCTTCACCTGCAGAAAGAGGAAGCAATTCGTCTATAAAAAGTCCCATGAAGGTTATCGAATGCCTTCTCTGCATCCAAGAACATCGGCACTCCTTGCTGGTCTTTATGCCCCTGTAGATATTCTATAGCATTTAGTACTACCCTCATATTATCCTTAATTTGTCTTCCTAACAAAAAAAAAAATCTAGGCAAAAAATAAATATAGATATAATAATAATCTCATGTTGTTATTTTCTCTTCCAGCTCTTCTTTATTGAAGGTTACTCTTATTATTATATTTATTCATACCCTGCTTTATCTCCCTAAAGGGGACTCAAAACAGCTTGACATAAAAGCATTACTATACAATTATTATTATTATTATTATTATTATTATTATTATTATTATTATTATATATTGTTATTATATTTATTCATACCCTGCTTTATCTCCCCAAAGAGGACTAAAACAACTTGACATAAAAGCATTACTATACAATTATTATTATTATTATTATTATTATTATTATTATTATTATTATTAATATTTATTTATACCCTGCTTATCTCCCCAAAGGGGACTCAAAGAAGATCTACATAAAAATATTACTATGCAATTATTATTATTATTTATATCCTGCTTTATCTCCCCAAAGCAGGTTGACATAAAACCATTACTAAAAAATAATAATAATAATAATAATAATAATAATAATTATATATTGCTGTTATATTTATTTATACCCTACTTTATCTCCCCAAAGGGGACTCAAAGCACCTTGACATAAAAGCATTACAATACAATTTAAATTATATAATTATTATGTTATAATATATTATTATTGTTATTATTATTATTTATATCCTGCTTTGTCTCCCGAAAGAGGACTTCACAAAACAGCATTAGCATACTATTTAAATTATATAATTATTGTTATATAATATAATAATAATATACATTATTATTAATACCCTGCTTTATCTCCCCAAAGAGGAATTGACAAGCATTACCATACAATTTAAATTATATTATTATTATTGTTATATAATAATAAAAATTATTATTATTAATACCCTGCTTTATCTCCCCAAAGGGGACTTGACAAAAAGCATTACCATACAATTTAAATTATATTATTATTAGTTATATAAGTTATTATTATTATTATTATTATTATTATTATTATTATTATTATTTATACCTTGCTTTATCTCCCCAGAGGGGACTTGACAAAAAGCATTACCATACAATTTAAATAATAATATTATTGTTGTTATATAATATAAATTATTAATATTATTATTATCATTATCATCATTATTATTATTGTTTATACCCTGCTTTATCTCCCCAAAGGGGACTTTGTGCAGCTTGACATCAAAGCATTGAGCATACAATTGAAAATGATCTGAGTCTCACCTTGGAAGCGGCCACCAGCTGCGCAGTGCTGGCCGCGATTTCGTGGGAACAGACCATCAGCTCCTCAAACTTCCCTTTGCCCTGCAGAACCAGGTCGGCGGCATCCCTGAAAAGAGGGCGGAGTGTCGAGGTCCTTCCTTGCCAAGCCCCGCCCCTTTTGAGACCGAACCCTCGACCCCCCCCCCAAAGTACTTACACCATGAGGGTGGCCCCCCACCCGACAGCCTTGGCGGCCGAGATCAGGCCCTCCGTCCAGCGCGAGTTCCGGGCGTAAAATTCCTTTGGGGAGGCCGCCCCCTGCAGGGAAGAGCAGCAGAGGGACATGAGTCGGGAGTGTGATGCAGCAGCAGAAAAGGCCAATGCCATTCTCCTCTGCATCCATAGCAGCCTGAGGGTAATCATATAGGCTATAGCTATGATTCTATGGAGGGAAGTCATAGAGACTAGGGCTTGACGACTGTAATAGCATTGGCCCCGATGTGGAAAGGAAAAGGAGGCGAACTCACCCTTCCACTCTCCACGATTTCCCGCTGGAGGTCCTTGGAGGCCAAGACTAGAACCTGGATGGCCTGCATGAGGCCCGTGCAGGAGCCCAGGATCCTAACAAGAGAGTATGAGGAATATGATCAGACTCATAGACCCTCAAGGGCAATCTAGTCCAACCCAAGTAGGAAGACAGAATAACTATGTTATTATTGTTGTTATTAGACTCATAGAGTTTGGAGAGACCCCTAAGGTCATCCAGTCCAACCCACTTTCTGCCAAGCAGGAAGAGAGAACAACAACAACAATAATAAATATTATTATTATTATTATCATCAGACTCATAGAGTTGGAAGATGACCCCCTTCTGCCAGGCAGAAAACAGAATTCCTATCTTATTATCATCATTATAGTCATCATCATCAGGCTCATAGAGTTTGGAGGGACCCCTAAGCCCATCTAGTCTAACCCCCTTCTGTGAAGCAGGAAGAAAGAATGACATTATTATTATGATGAGACTCCTAGAGTTGGAAGAGACCCCCAAGGTCATCCAGTCCAACCCACATTCTGCCATAAAGAAAGACAGAACAATAATAATAATAATAACAATTATTATTATTATTATTATTATTATTATTATTATCATCATCATCAGACCCATCGAGTTGAGAGGGACCTCTAAAAGCCATCCAGTCCAACCCCTTTCTGATTATTATTATTATTATTATTATTATCATGATCCAATTATTATTATTATTATTATTATTATTATTATTATTAATATTATCATGTTCAGATTCATCAAGTTGGGAGGGATCTCTAAAAGCCATCCAGTCCAACCCCTTTTCCTATTATTATTATTATTATTATTATTATTATTATTATTATTATCAAGATCTGATTATTATTATTAATAATAATAATAAAATTATCATGTTCAGATTCATCAAGTTGGGAGGGACCTCTAAAAGCCATCCAGTCCAACCCTCTTCCGATTATTATTATCGAGCCCTTTGGGGAGAAGCTCCTAAAATGATGCACTGTCGTTTATGTGTAATTTGCACTTGATGTTTTTGCTTTATTAATATATGTATTTTGTTTCGGCATCGAATTGTTCCGACTGTGTATACCGCCTTGAGTTGCCTTCGGGCTGAAATGGGCGGGATAGAAATAATGTAAATAAATAAATACATAAATAAATAAATAAATAGAATATATTATTATTATTATTATTATTATTATTATCATCATCATCATCATCATCAAACTCATTGAGTTGGGAGGAACCTCTAAAGGCCATCCAGTCCAACCCCCTTCCGATTATTATCATCATCAACATCATCATCATCATCAGACTCATCAAGTTGGGACGGACCACTAAAGATCATCCAGTCCAACCCCCTTCCGATTATTATTATCCAGGCCTTTGGGGAGAAACTCCTGAAGAGAATTTATCATCATCATCCTCATCAAGTTGGGAGGGATCTCTAAAGGCCATCCATTCCAACCCCCTTGCCAAGAAGTAGGAAAATTGCATTCAAAGCACCCCTGACAGATGGCCATCCACCCTCTGCTTAAAAGCCTCCAAAGCAGGAGCCTCTTTCTTTAAAGCTCACCATCGAACGAGACCCACCTCTCATTGACCTCCAGCTTGACTCCGGTGTCCCCAGCCCGTGACTTGCTCAGCATCTCCTGTTTCATTGGGGGAAAGAGGCCTCAGGGTCAGTGGTTTTTGGGGGGGAGCGATACGTCCCAAGCCCCTCCCAGACCCCCGACCCCTGACCTCGATCCTGGCGGCTGCTGCTTCAATGGCCGCCGCGGTGGCCGCCATCTCCTGGTCCACCAGGTCTCCCAGTCGCTCCTGCTCCACGTCGAGGCCTTTGGGGAGAAGCTCCTGAAGAGAATGAATATATATATATATATAATTTACTGCATTATAAAAAGGGGATTCAGAGTGGCTTCCAGATTGGCAATATTCAATGCCACATTAAACATAAAAACATACAATAACAAATTACAATATACATTAAAATCATAAAAAGTCATAAAAACAATTATATCAGTATCTAGTACTATTATCATCACCACCACCTATTAATTATTATTATTATTACTATTATTATGAGTTGGAAGAGACCCCAAGTGGCCACCCAGACCAATCCAGTGCCATGAAAGAAGATTGACTATTATATTAGGTAAAGGTAAAGGTTGTCCCCTGACATTAAGTCCAGTCATGTCTGACTCTGGGGTGTGGTGCTCATCTCCATTTCTAAGCCGAAGAGCCAGTGTTGTCCGTAGACACCTCCAAGGTCATGTGGCCGGCATGACTGCATGGAGCGCTGTTACCTTCCTGCCGGAGCGGTACCTATCGATCTATTCACATTTGCATGTTTTCGAACTGCTAGGTTGGCAGAAGCTAGGGCTGACAGCGGAAGCTCACGCCGCTCCCTGGAATCGAACCTGCGACCTTTCAATCAACAAGCTCAGCAGCTCAGTGCTTTAACCCACTGCGCAACCGGGGGCTCATTATATTAGTATCTATTATTATTATTCAAGGCAATAATAATAATATGAATAATTATAATTCATAATAATAATAATAATAATAGTATCTATTATTATTATTATTATCCACATCATCACTACCATCTATTATTATTATCATCCTCATCATCTATTATTCCTTCTTCCAGGCAAGGACTGACCTCTCCGATGTGGGCGATGTGCTGGAGGCACGTCCGGAGGGCGTTGAGGTCCATCTCCTCCATGGCCTTCTGGTCCTCCAAACACCCCAGGAAGGCCAGCGCCTTGGCCCCGCACTCCCGGCCGGCCTCCAGCAGCCCTGCACAAGGGGGAGGAGTCACAAAGGGGATGGGCCACAAGGGGGAGGAGTCACCAAGAGGCCCCGCCCCCATTCCCCCACCCCAAAGAAAGGTCACTCACGGTCAGCGGGCTCCATGGGGGTCATGTGCGAAGTGGCACTGGCCTGCAGGATGGTGTCGCCCAGAAGGTGAGCGAAACGGGAGACGCACGGCAGCAGTGGGCTCACGTCTTGGCAAAACAACAACAACAATAAATACAACAATAATAACAGTACTGAACATAATTATAATAATAATAATTGTAATCATATTAATAGTATGAATAATAATTGTAATAATACTACTAATAAGAGTAATGACAGTAATGTCTGGAATGATGGTATAGTGTCTGGGATTCGTCTCTTCCCAAGGTCCTAGGATATTAGAGGAATTACTATTATTATCATTATTACTATTGTTTTTATTATTACTATTATCATTATTACTATTGTTGCTATTATATTGTTATTAATACTACTACTGTTAATAATATTACTGTTGTTATTACCATTCTTACTACTACTAATAGTAATAACATCAGTAATATTAATAATACTAGTAGTAATAACAACAACAGTAATAATAGCAACAATAGTAATCACGATAATAATAGTAATGCCTCTAATATCCTAGGGCCTTGGGAAGAGACGAATCCCAGACACTTGGACCTAATGTGCATATGTGCTGTACATGTAAATAATGATAACAATAATAATAGTAATAATAGTAAAAATAAAAATAATAGTAATATTAATTTTAATGATAATAGTAATACACTACCATTAGTAATAATAATAGTAATAATAATAGTAAAAATAAAACTAATAGTAATATTAATTTTAATGATATTAGTAATACTACTATTACTACTAATAGTAATAATATAATAATATAGTAAAAATAAAAATAATTTTAATTTTAATGATAATGGTAATATTACTAATAATATTAACAATAGGGGCAACAGCAACAACTATATCTGTAATAGTAATAATCATATTAACAATAGTAAAAATTACAGTAATACTGAAACAGTAGTAGGAATGGAAAAAGGATTTTGAGATCGGAATCTGATTCTAAGTGTGGCGATGATTATGTGTTTGTCTGTATTGTGTGTCTCATACATTGTTTAGTGTTGTTTTTTATTGTAAACCGCATTGAGTCGCCGCCTCAGGCTGATATATGCGGTATACAAATAGAGTAAATAAATAAATAAATAAATAAATAAATAATGGTAGTAGTAATAATAATAGTAAAATAATAATAATAGTAACAACAACATGTAACATGTTTTTGTTCCTGAGTTATAAATGTCAGTTTTTATATATTATACATAGATAGATACATAGACAGCCAGATAGACAGACAGATAATAGAGAAGTAATAGAGATATGATAGATAGAGATAGGTATACATATATATATATATATATATATAGAGAGAGAGAGAGGGGAAGAGAGATAAGTAGGTAGAGGGAGGGAGAGATGTTAGATAAATAATAGATAGAAATATGATAGACAAAGATAGGTAAATATATATATATATATATATATATATATAGAGAGAGAGAGAGAGAGAGAGAGATGTAGGTAGGTAGAGATGATAGGTAGATAAATAATAGATAGATAGATAGATAGATAGACAGATAAATACAGAGAGAGATGATAGATAGATAGATAGATAGATAGATAGATAGATAGATAGATAGATAGATAGAATCCTACACTTGGAAATGAACCCAATGGTCATTCAGTCCAACCCCTAAGAGATAGATAGATAGATAGATAAATAAATAGATATTATTATTATTATTATTATTATTATTATTATTCTCTATTATTCTTGAGGCCTATAATCCAGGGCAGCAAAAAGGAAGCCAGCAGGAAGTCACCCATCATTCCCTGAAGCTGGACTTGGCAAAGCCTCACCTGATTGGTCAGCAAGGTACTGACCACACGCCTCCTCCAGCCGGTCAGCGCCTTCGGAAGCCGCCACGGTCCGGGAGAGAAGGTAGTCTGAAGAGAGACAGAGAGAGAGAGGAAAAGCACACTGGACATCGGAAGAAGGACAGTATCTCGCTGGTACCCCTGTCCCCCCCCCCAGGAAGGAAGACAGATTTACTATATTATTATTATTATTCGTCAAATAATAATGTCAGGCCTTGTTGTTCTGTTTCTTATTGTGATATGGCCTAAGGGCTAATCAATAAAAAAATTACTATATTATTATTATTATTATTATTATTATTTTACTGATACAAAAACACAGTATGTCACAGCAAACGAGATCTATATGTTGGATTTCGTATCACAAAATCACAAGTCAAACACTTCCCAAGCATCTAGGACTGTGTGAGGTATTTTCAAATGATGTGCACAGATCCAAGTTATTATTATTATTAATAATAAAAAATTTATAATGTATTATTAATAGTTTATTAATAAATTTATGATCTATTAATCATAATAATTATTATTATTACTATTAATTATTATTAGTAGTAGTAAATTATTGCGTCTAGGATTGTGTGATGTATTTTCAAATGATGTGCACAGATCCAAGTTATTATGATTAATAATAATAAATTTATAATGTATTATTAATAGTTTATTAATAAATTTATGATCTATTAATCATAATTATTAATTATTATTATTATTACTATTAATTATTATTATTAGTAGTAAATTATTGCATCTAGGATTGTGTGATGTATTTTTGAATGATGCAAGCAGATCCAAGTTATTATTATTATTATTATTATTATTTGTAATAATAGGTTTATAATTTATTAGTAATTATTACTAGGTATTTATTATTATTATTAATAATAAATTATTAATTATTAATAAACTTGTAATTTTAATTAATTAATTATTAGAACCATAGAGTTGGAAGAGACCCCAAGAGCCATCCATTCCAAACCCCTTTTGCCAGACAAGAAAATAGATTTATTATTATTATTATCATTGCTATTTTTCCTCCTGCTGACCTGCGGAACTGGTGCATCCGGCGTGTGCGGGGTCCTCCAGGCGGTTCAGGGCCTCTTGCACCACTTGCTGGGCCTCTTTGGCGGCGCAGCAAAGCAGGGCCCACTGCTGGTCCAGGAGCCGCTGACGGAAGGCCTCCGCATCGCTTTCCTATGGGCAGAATAAGCCGGAATAAGACCTCTACTAGGAAAAAACATCATCACAGCCCTGTTTTTCCTGTTGCACAGCCAATAAATCTATCGCATTGGATCTCCTCGCTTCTAGCGTCTGATTGAAACAGAGATAATATTTAGGGTTTTTGGGGAGCACCCAGCCTCAACACTGAGTGATTATGCAGTGATTTGAACCTCTCTGGGGATATATTAAACCACAGCTGGATGGCCATCTGTTGGGAGGGTTTTGACTGTGCCTTTCCTGCCTGGCTTAAAGGGTGTTGGGCTGGATGCCCTTTAGAAGTCGCTACCAACTTTAGGATTCTATATCGCAGAATGCAGTGTATTTATTCTATCCTATTTATAGCGGGATGGCCATCTCTTGGGAGAGCTTTGGCTGTGTCTTCCTACATGCATGGAAGGGGTTGGACTAGATGCCATGGGGGGGGGGGTTTCCTAGGAATCTATGACAGATATATCATAGAATATAGTGTATTTATCTATTATCTCTGTGGCTGGATGGTAATCTATTGGGAGGCTTCCTTCCTGGCTAAAGGAGGTTGAGCTGGATGCTCTTTGGGGGTCTCTCCAAACTCCAGGATTCTATGATAGATATAATAATAATAATAATTATTATTATTATTATTATTCATGGAATATATCATAAATAGATATATCAAAGAGTATCTATGGCTGGATGGCCATCTGTTAAGATGGCTTTGATTGTGCCTTTTCCTTCCCGCTGAAAGCAGTTGGGTTGAATGCCCTTTGGGGGTCCCTCCAAAATCGAGGATTTTATGATAGATAATAATAATAATAAAATCATATAATGTATCATAGATAGATATCATATAGTGTATTTATTTATCATATATATGGCTGGATGGCCATCTGTTAAGATGGCTTTGATTGTGCCTTCCCAGCTGAAAGTGGTTGGGTTGAATGCCCTTTGGGCAGGGGTCCCCAAACTTTTTCAACAGGGGGCCAGATTACTGTCCCTCAGACCGTTGGAGGGCCGGATCATTGTGCGAGCTGGGCAAGGGAGGCTGCACTGCGCGGCTTGGCCTTGCGCAAAGCCCCTCGCAAGGCCCAATCCCTTCACTTGCCTCGCGCTGCCCGTCACGCAAAGCCCTCATCGCTTCCATTGCTTGCCAGGCCCGACTGGCAGCGTGAGGCAAGTGAGGGGATTGGGCCTTGCAACTTACCTTCCTCACGCTGCCCATCATGCAACATCACAGCCATATAACCCAGAATATCAAGGCAGAAAATCCCACCATATCTGCTTTGAACTGGAATATATGGCAGTGTGGACTCAGATAACCCAGCTCAAAGCAGATATGGGGTTTTCTGCCTTGATTTTTGGGGATATAGAGAAAACCCAGAATATGGCTGTGTGGAAGGACACCCACTGGGCTGTCTCCCACTTCCTGCAGGCACAGCTTCTTGGGGAGGCCTCCTTGCCAGCCCTTAAAGGGATGCAGGCATAGCCTCCAATCAGGGCCAGCTAACACCTGCTAACAAAGGCTTCCTACAGGCTGGGAGGAGCCAGGCTTTGAAGCTGCAAGGCAATTCAATGCTAATCAAGGTTGCCAATTGAAACATTCACACTTGATTCCAACAGACAAGAGTTCTTTGGTCCACCCTGGATATTCCACACAGGGGCGGCTCAACCCATTACACAAAGTAAGCCTTTGCAGTATAGTTGATTTTGCCCAGGGGCGCTCTTGAGGCGCTCTTGGGGGAAAATAGACCTTGACATATGCGAGTTGTAGTTACTGGGATGTATAGTTCACCTACAATCAAAGAGCATTCTGAACTCCACCGATGATGGAATTGAACCAAATATGGCACACAGAACTCCCACGACGAACAGAAAATATATATCAGTGATTGGTTGGGGGGGGGGCAAAATACTGTTTGCTTACCGTTGAAAATTACCTAGGGCCGCCTCTGATTCCACAAGTATATAAACCCCAATTTCCTAGTTTCCAACAGACCTCACAGCCTCTGAGGATGCCTGCCATAGATGCAGGCAAAACGTCAGGAGAGAATGCTTCTGGAAAACTCACAGCAACCCAGTGATCAAAGGTGCATTTGCACTGTAGAATTAATTCAGTTTGAATTCAGCTACTTCAGGAAGAAGGGGAAAAAATGCACGTGGCCCCTTTAAGCAGAGCCCGTCTACCTTTTCCTTTGTGCCTGGTTTTTTGGAATGCCGCCCCCTGATTGCCTGGCGGGAGGGACCCAAAGCCAGAAAGCCAACGCAACGTGAACAAGGCGGGGCAATGCTGGAGCGTGGATGAGACGCGAAGCCACGCCTCCGACTTCCCCATTGGTCAATTCAGAGGCAGGAGGCGTGACCTAGGCTCACTCCTTCACCCTTTCTTCCTGCATTTGGGAGGGGTGCAGTGGCCCAGCGCATCTCGCGGGCCAGATAAATGCCCTCGGGGGGCCAGACCCGGCCCGCGGGCCTTAGTTTGAGGACCCCTGCCTTTGGGGATCCCTCTCAAATCTAGGATTCTATGATAGATAATAGTAATAATAATAAAATATATCATAAATAGCTATATCATTAGCTTATTTATCATATCTATGGCTGGATGGCTATCTGTTGGGAGGGTATAGACTGTGCCTTGACTTCCCGGTGGAAAAGGGTTAGGCTGGATGCCCTTTGGGGGTCCCTTCCAAATCTAGGATTCTATATGATAGAACACATTGTATTTATCTATCACATCTATGGTTCAATGGACATCTGTTGGGAGGGCATAAAGGGGTTGGGATGGATGTCCTTTGGGGGCCCCTCCTTCCATACCTACCTTCTCCTGGAGGCGGCTCCGCAGCTCCTGGGCGGCCTCGCTCTGGCTCTGCAGGCTGGCCTTCAACTGCTGGACCTGGGCTTCCAAGTCGGCCGCCTGCTGCTCCCTCTGGGCCACTGTCTCCACCAAAGCTGAACGCTCCCCCTGCAAGGCGGCCATCAGGGTGCTCTGCTCCGCTTCCGACTGGGGAAAAGACACGCCCCCTTTTATTCAAACGCCCCTCTCTTCCCATCCACTTCCTTCACAGGGACACACCCCTTTTTATTTAAATGCCTCTCATTATTATTATTGTTATTATTACTATATTTTTTATACCCTGCTTTCTCTCTCCCACAGGAGACTCAAAGTGGCTTAACGTAATAATAATAATAAACAGAGTAAAATAATAAATGTAATAACAAGAAAGTAATAAATGTAAAATAGAGTAAAATAAATGTAATAATAACAATAATAAAGAGGAAAATAATAATCGTAATAACAATAACAAACTAATATAATAAATATAATACTAATAAATAGAGTAAAATAAATGTATTGATAATAATAGAATAAAATAAGAAATTTAATAATAACTATAATAGACTATTATAAATATAATAATAATAATAATAAATAGAGAAAGATAATATAATAATAATAGAGTAAAATAAGAGATGTAATAATAACAAGAAAGTAATAAATGTAATAATAGAGTAAAGTAAATGTAATAATAACAATATTAAATGGAATAAAATAATAAATATAATAATAAAGTAAAATAATAAATATAATAATAACAATAATAGAGTAAAATAATAAATGTAATAACAAGAAAGTAATAAATGTAAAATAGAGTAAAATAAATGTAATAATAACAATAATAAAGAGGAAAATAATAATCGTAATAACAATAACAAACTAATATAATAAATATAATACTAATAAATAGAGTAAAATAAATGTATTGATAATAATAGAATAAAATAAGAAATTTAATAATAACTATAATAGACTATTATAAATATAATAATAATAATAATAAATAGAGAAAGATAATATAATAATAATAGAGTAAAATAAGAGATGTAATAATAACAAGAAAGTAATAAATGTAATAATAGAGTAAAGTAAATGTAATAATAACAATATTAAATGGAATAAAATAATAAATATAATAATAAAGTAAAATAATAAATATAATAATAACAATAATAGAGTAAAATAATAAATGTAATAACAAGAAAGTAATAAATGTAAAATAGAGTAAAATAAATGTAATAATAACAATAATAAAGAGGAAAATAATAATCGTAATAACAATAACAAACTAATATAATAAATATAATACTAATAAATAGAGTAAAATAAATGTATTGATAATAATAGAATAAAATAAGAAATTTAATAATAACTATAATAGACTATTATAAATATAATAATAATAATAATAAATAGAGAAAGATAATATAATAATAATAGAGTAAAATAAGAGATGTAATAATAACAAGAAAGTAATAAATGTAATAATAGAGTAAAGTAAATGTAATAATAACAATATTAAATGGAATAAAATAATAAATATAATAATAAAGTAAAATAATAAATATAATAATAACAATAATAGAGTAAAATAATAAATGTAATAACAAGAAAGTAATAAATGTAAAATAGAGTAAAATAAATGTAATAATAAAAATAAAGAGGAAAATAATAATTGTAATAACAATAATATAATAAATATAATACTAATAAATAGAGTAAAATAAATATAATGACAACAATAATAAAGAGTAAAATAAGAAATGTAATAACAAGAAAGTAATAAATGTAATAATAGAGTAAAATAAATGTAATAATAACAATAATAAAGAGTAAAATAATAAATGTAATAATAATAAATGTAATAACATATATAATAGACTAATATAATAATAATAAATAGAGTAACATAATCACTGTAATAATAGAGTAAAATAAATATAATAATAACATTATTAAATAGAGTAAAATAATAAATATAATAATAATAAATAGAGTAAAATAATAAATGTAATTGAAATAATAATAATAATCCAGTGAAATAATACATAACTTTGATTCAAGTATAAGTTGAGGGGCTTATACTCGAGTATACACAGAATGTACTTATTTGAACAAAGTCTTTTGTAACTCTTAAAGCCTGGCACAAAGAGAGAATACCTGTGCGCTGGAGTCCAGGGTGCCCCGCATGGCCTGCACCTCCTGCCGGCTGGACAACAACTCCCTCCGCAAGGCCTCCAGGACTTCCGCCTGCTCCTGGGTCTGAAACCAAACAAAGCGGGCAAGAGGTTATTATTATTATTATTATTATTATTATTATTATTATGTTTATTTATACCCCTTTTTATCTCCACAAAGGAGACTCACTTTGCCACCCCAACCCATACCCCTCAGCACGAAAAATTTGGTCACAGTAATAACAATAACAACAATTCTAAATGCCACCTAGTGACTGTTTTCGGTATTGACTGGGAAACATGAAAGAAGCCCTGGTCTCCATCATTGATTCTTAAACTCTGTGGATGGCCACCTAGTGGCTGTTTTAGGCATTGTTTCCGGATCTGTAACTTACCTCACAAACAAAGGGGGAAGGCTTTATTTCTAATAGCATACATTGGGGTACGAAACAAAATTCCAACTGACAGTTTCTTTCCCTCACGTCTCCTATCCCTCACCCTGGCCCCTCCCCTTCATTGCTCCCATTTCCACGGAAACCAACTCACTTTTCGCTGGACCTGTTCGCTCAGCCGGTGGAGGGAGTCCTCCGCCTCCCTCTTGTCCCGCTCCGCCTCCCCTTGGACCTGCCTGGCCACCGTCACCTGCTTGGTCACCTCTGCGTTCTGAGCAGATGAGAAGAGAATGGCTTTATCCCCCTCCCTGTTGGACTGACCCTTCTTATTCAACTGCCCCTCTCGAACACACCCCTTCTTATTCAAATGCCCCTCTCTTTCCTACCTTGCGCAGGAGCTCCGCATGGCTATGCACCAGCCCACTGTACTTCTCCTTCAGCTTCGCGTAGCGCTGCTCCATCGCCTGTGCTTTCCCTGCAATGCAAACCATGTTTACATATTTCAGAGGATGTCCTCAGGAAGGCAATTCCATATTAGGAACATTAGGAAGAACCCCCTGACCTGTTCAACAGGGGAACTCTCTGCATTGGAGTTCATGGATGCTTTGAAGCAGAGGCTGGATGGCCATCTGTTTGGGGTGCTTTAACTGTACTCCCCTGCCTGGCATAAAGGGGTTGTGCTGCGTGGCCTGTAGTGTTCTTCCAGCTCTAGGATTCTATTATTATTATTAATCATAATCATAATAATAACAATAATAATAGGACAGGGGTTGGACTGGATGGCCCTTGGGGTCTCTCACAACTCTAGGATACTATGAATAATAATAATAATAATAATAATAATAATAACTATAAAATCAACAACAATGTAGGGGTTGGGTTGGGTGGCTCTTAGGGTCCCTTCCAGCTCTCGGATTCCATGATATACCTGGCATATATATATATATATATATATATATATATATATATATATATATATATATCAATTATATCTATAGCCATTTATTTTTGGCTAGGTGGCCATCTGTTGAGAGGGATTGGATGGTGTCTTCCTTCATGGCAGAATGAGGCTGGACTGGATGGCCCTTGGGGGTCCCTTCCAGTTTTAGGATTCCATGATATACCGAACATATGCCTCTCTTTCTCAATCATATCCATAGCAATCTATCTTTGGCTGGGTGGCCATCTGTCGGGAGGGATCGGATGGTGTCTTCCTTCCTGGCAGAAGAGGGTTAGACTGGATGGCCCTTGAGGGTCCCAGCTTTAGGATTTCATGATATACCGAACATATGCCTCTCAATCATATCCACAGCAATCTATCTTTAGCTGGGTGGCCATCTGTTGAGAGTGATCGGATGGTTTCTTCCTTTATGGGGTTGGACTGGATGGATCTTGGGGGTCCCTTCCAGCTTTAGGATTCCATAATATACCTGCCATATGCCTCTCTCTCTCAACCATATCCATAGCAATCTATCTTTAGCTGTGTGGTCATCTGTCGAGAGGGATCAGATGGTGTCTTCCTTTATGGGGTTGGACTGGATGGCCCTTGGGGGTCCCTTCCAGCTTTAGGATTCCATGATATATCAAACATATGCCTCTGTCTCTAAATTATTATATCTATAGCCATCTATCTTTGGTTGGGTGGCCATCTGTTGAGAGGGATCGGATGATGTCTTCCTTTATGGGGCTACACTGGATAGCCCTTGGGGGTCCCTTCCAGCTCTAGGATTCCATTATATACAAAACATATGCCCCTCTCTCTCAATCATATCTATAGCCATCTATCTTTGGCTGGGTGGCCATCTGTCAAGGGGGGTTGGATGGTGCTCCTAGGCGAATCCAAGTTGTGCCTTCCTTCCCCAACTCAACCAACATGCTGCACAAGGAGATAGTCCTCATCAAGGGCAAAAATAGGCGGATGGGTGAGTTGGCAGGGGGAGCCCTTCTTTGGCCGAGTCCCCCCTGTGAGCATGGAGAGGGGCCAGGTGCCTCCCAAGCGACTCACGCTCAATCTCGGTGAGGCTGCGCTGGGCCTTCTGGGTGTCCTGGTGGCGCCGCTTGAGGTCGTCGGCCTCCGCGCGCAGGAACTCGCTTTCGTCCAGCGCCTGCTGCTTCAAGTGCCGCTGCTCCGCCAGCTCGGCCTCCAGCTCACTGATGCGCCCTCTCAGCTGCACCGCCGCACAATGGCTCTGGGGGAAGGAGGAAGCGAGGAAGCAGGGGCCCCTCTCCCTCTCTCTCTAGTGGGTGCCCACACCAGGAATGCTCAATGCAGGGGCGGCCTGCATGGAAACACCACTTACTTCCGCCTTGAAGTTGCTCAGCTCTTCCTTCAGGGAGCTGATTTCCCGGTGCAGCTGCTCAATCAGACGGTCCCTACGAGGAGGAGAAAGGGAAGGAGGAAAAGAGGAAGAGGAAAGAGGAAGAAAGAAGGAAGGAAAAGGGAAGAGGGGGAAGAAGGAGGTAAAAAGGAAAGGAATAAAGAAAGGAAAAAAGGGAAAGGGAAAGAAGGGAAGGGAAGGAAAGGAAAGGAAGAAAAGGGAAAGGAAAGGGAGGGAAGAAAAAGGAAAGAAGGATGGAAAGAAGGAAAAGGAAGGGAAATGAAAAGAGGAAGAAAAAGGAGAAGGTAAGGAGTAAGGGGAAGAGGAAGGAAAGGGGAAAGGGAAGGAAAGAAAGGCAAGAAGAAAAGGGAAAGAAGGATAGACAGGAGAAAAGAAATGGGAAGGAGAGCAGGAAGGGAAAGGGGAAAAGGGAGGGAAAGGAGGACCAAAAAGGAAAGGAAAGGGGAAGGGTAGGACACAGGGGAAAGGAAAGAAGAAAAGGGAAGGAAAGGGGAAAAGGAAGGGGAATGAAAGAAGAAAATAGGGGGAGATAAGGAGTAAGGAAAAGGAAAGAAGGGAGGAAGGAAAGAAAGGGAAAGGGTAGCAAAAAAGGGAAAGAAGGGTAGAAAGAAGCAAAAGAAATGGGAAGAAAAGAAGGAAGGGGAACGAGAAGGGTGGGAAAGAAGAAAGTAAAAGGAAAGGAAGGAAAGGGAAAGGAAAGAAAAGAAAAAGGAAAGAAGGATGGAAAGGAGAAAAAGAAGGAAAGAAGGAAGGGAAAGGGAAAAGGGAGAGTGGGAAAGGAGTAACAAAAGGAATAAGGGAAAGGGAAAGGAAGGGAAGGGAAAGAAGAGAAGGGAAAGAGGGATGGAAATGAGGAAAAGGAAGGGGAATGAAAGGAGGATGGAAAGGGGAAAGGAGGGTAAGGAGTAAGGAAAAGGAAAGGAAAGAAGGGAGGAAGGAAAGGAGGAAAAGGAAAGGAAAAAAGGAATGAAGGAAAATGAAAGGAAAGGAGGAAGGAAGATAAACGGAAAGAAAAAAGGAAAGGAAGAAAGAAGAAAAAAGAAAGATGGATGGAAAGAAGGAATAGGAAGGAAAAAAGGGAGGAAAAGGGAAGGGAGGGAAAGGAGGAAGGTAAATTGAAAGGGGAAGGAAGGGGAAGGAGGAAAGGAAAAGGAAACAAAACAAAAGGAAGGAAGGGAAAGGAAAGAAGAAAAGTAAGAAAAGGAAATGTGGAAGGAAGGAAAAGGAAAGGGAAGCCTCGCAGCACGACGGGTCCGCCTCCCTCCCGCTGGGCCACCGGCACTCACTTCTCATCCCGACTCATCCCATTTTGGGCGTTGAAGTTGAAGGGCCCGCTGCCAAAGGAAGTGCCGAAGATGTCATCGAACTTGTTGTCAAAGAGGCTCTGGAGGAAGCGAGAGAGGGGGGCGCCTCAGGTCAATAGGAAGGGCTTCCGGGGAAGGAGGAAGGAAGGCAGGAAGAGGCTCCTCACCTGCTGGGAAGTGGTGTCCCCCTCAGCCAGGTCCATGATGGGCTCGCTGTCCGGGGATGAGGCCTCCACCGGGATGACCACCACCGGGCTGATGTGCTCCGAGAGGGCCGAGGCCCGCAGGAAGTTGGGGGGATTCTGGGAAAAGGTGGGAAGCGGCATTTGAATAAAGAAGGGGGTGTGTCCTCAAGAAGGAACTTGATAGGAGGAGAGGATAGAGAGTGATTTCAATAAAAAGGGGCGTGTCCCTGAGAAGGAACAGGATAGGAGGAGAGAAAAGAGGGGCATTTGAATAAAAAGGGGCGTGTCCCTGAGAAGCATCAGTCTAAGGAAGGGGATTATAGTGTAATATATTGCAATTCTATAATTCTGAAATAAAATAATATTATTTTTTTTGGTTGTGTCAGGAGCAACTTGAGAAACTGCAAGTCGCTTCTGGTGTGAGAGAATTAGCTGTCTGCAAAGGCGTTGCCCAGGGATGCCCAGATTTTTTGATATTTTACCATCCTTATGGGAGGCTTCTCTCATGTCCCCACATAGGGAGCTGGAGCTGGCAGACAGGAGCTCATCCGCACTCTCCCCAGATTTGAAACTCCAAGGAAGGGGATAGGAGGAGAGACTAGAGTGACAGGCAGGCAGAGAGGCCAATAGGGAAGGACCTTTCCTGCCAACTAACTCATCTGCCTGCCCAAGTCCTCAATGAGGACCACAAACATGCGCAGGACGTTCACCTCAGGAAGTTGTGGGATCTGAATCAGTCGCTTGAAATACTGCAGGTTGCTGGAGCGATAGAAGAGATCCTTCAGCCTGGAAAAGAAATAGGGGAAAAGGTATTGACCGCTGGACCCCGGCCAAGGCATGCCCAACAAAAGGATGGTGTGAACAGAAGCTGGACTCGGTCCAAACCGGGATATAAATAAAAATAATAATAACAACAATAATAATAAACAAGAACAATAAGCAGTGACAATAAACAATAAACAAGAACAATCGATATAATATTAAATATAATAATAACAATAATAAACAAGAACAATAAACAATGGCAATAAACAATAACAATCTATATATTAAATATAATAATAACAATAACAATAAACAAGCAATAAACAATGACAATAAACTTAAATATAATAATAATAACAATAATAATAAACAAGAACAATAAACAATGACAATAAACAAGAACAATCAATATAATATTAAATATAATAATAACAACAATAATAAACAGGAACAACAAACAATGACAATAAACAAGAACAATCGATATAATATTAAATATAATAATAAGAAGAATAATAAACAAGAACAAGAAACAATGACAATAAACAAGAACAAGTGATATAATATTAAATATAATAATAATAACAACAATAATAAACAGGAACAATAAACAATGACAATAAACAAGAACAATCGATATAATATTAAAGATAATAACAACAATAATAATAAACAAGAACAATAAACAATGACAATAAACAAGAACAATTGCTATAATATTAAATATAATAATAATAATAATAAACAAGAACAATAAACAATAAAAACAAACAAGAACAATTGATATAATATTAAATATAATAATAACAATAATAAGCAAGAACAATAAACAATGACAATAAACAAGAACAATAGATGTAATATTAAATATAATAACAATAACAATTGATATAATATTAAATATAACAATAACAATAGACTCTGGTTGAGGCTGCAACCACAGGAAGGCCTGCCATTCTCCCAGGCCATGTTGTTGTCCTTTTATTTGTAATATGCCATATACATAAATAAACAAAAAAAAGATTACTTCTTGAACTGCTCCAGGAAGCGGTCTCGGTGGCCCTGGAGTGTGTCGGCTGGGAGGCCTAGAAAACAAGAGAGACACACATCAGGATGGAGCAAGGCATTTAGGCCTCAGAAGTGGTGGAACTCAACCACATCCTGCACAAGCTTGTAGTCCTCATCAAGGACTTTGAAAGGCAGATGCATTAGTTGGCTTCCCCATTAGCCTCTCTGCCTGCCCATCACTCTGTTCCCTCCCCGTATCCCCTTCCTTAGGCTCACTCTTCTCAAGGACATACCCCCACCCCCCATTTATTCAAATGCCCCTCTCTTCCCTCCCCTTCCTGGACTCACAGGAGTGGAGCTTGAAGAGGAGCTTGACCGTGTAGTCGTAGAGGTGGCTGCAGTCCAGGATGACCTGGATGAGCGGAGCCAGGCGGCACTGACCGGTGGCCGTGACCGAGACCGAGCGAGACATGTCCAGCGAGCTGAAGACTAGGCGGCAGAAGCAGCAGGAAGCCATCCAGAGGGAAGAGAGAAGCCCACAAGCATCATCATCATCATCATCCTCAGTGTATATATGCCTGGTGTTGACTGGGTATTGGAGGTGACACTGCCTTCTCCCTCTCTCACTCTTCCCTTCTTCCCTTGCTTTCCCTCATACACCTCCCTCCTTCCTTCCATCCCCTTCTCTCCCTCCTCTCATACTTTCCCTCCTTTCCCTTTTTCCTTCTTCCAACTTCTTCTATCTCCTTCCTTCCCTTCCCTCGTTCCAGCCCTAAGAGGTCCTCAAAATTTGTTCATGCTTCCCTTTGTGGATCTTTCCTTTCTTCCCTTTTTTTCTTTTTTAATTTCTTTCTTCCCTTCTTTCCTTTCTTCCAATCCCCTTCTCTTTTCCCTTCTTTCTCTCTGCTTCCCTTCCCTTCCCTCGTTCCAGCCCCAAGAGGTCCTCACAATGTGTCCATGCTTCCCTTTGTGGACATTTCCTTTCTTCCCTTCCCTTTCTTTTTTTTTCTTCCCTTCCCTTCTTTTCTTTCTTCCGGTTCCCTTCTTTTCCTTCCTGCTTGCTTCCTCACAATGTGTCCACGCTTCCCTTTGTGGACATTTCCTTTCTTCCTTTCCTTTCCCTTCCCTATTCTTTCTTTCTTTTGTTCTTTTTTCTTTCTTCCCTGTTTTCTTTCTTCCAACTCCCTTCTCTTTTCCTTCCTTCCTTCCCTTTCCCTCTTTCTAGCTCTAAGAGATCCTCATAATGTGTCCATGGTTCCCTTTGTGGATCTTCCCTTTCCCTTTACCCTTCCCTTTTCTTTATTTTTTTCTTTCTTCACTTCCCTTCTTTTATTTTGTCCAAATTCCTCATTTTTAGGTTCTTGTGGTTTTTTCGGGCTATATGGCCATGTTCTAGAGGCATTTTTCCTGACGTTTCGCCTGCATCTATGGCAAGCATCCTCAGAGGTAGTGAGGTCTGTTGGAAATAGGAAAATGGGTTTATATATCTGTGGAATGACTGGGGTGGGGCAAAGAGCTCTCTGCTGAAGCTAGGTGTGAATGTTTCAGCTGACCACCTTCATTAGCATTTGAAGGCCTGGCTGAGCCTGGGAAAATGTTGTGTTGAGAGGTGTTAACAGATATATACCCATTTTCCTATTTCCAACAGACCTCACTACCTCTGAGGATGCTTGCCATAGATGCAGGCGAAACGTCAGGAAAAATGCTTCTAGAACATGGCCATATAGCCCGAAAAAACCCACAAGAACCTAGTGATTCCAGCCATGAAAGCCTTCGACAATACATCCTCCTTCTTTTCTTTCCTTCCTTCCTTCCTCCCTCCCTTCTTGCTTGCTTGCTGCCCTTCCCTTCCCTCTTTCTAGCTCTAAGAGATCCTCATAATGTGTCCATGGTTCCCTTTGTGGATCTTCCCTTTCCCTTTACCCTTCCCTTTTCTTTATTTTTTTCTTTCTTCACTTCCCTTCTTTTATTTTGTCCAAATTCCTCCTTCTTTCCTATTTTCCTTCCCTCCTTCCTCTTCCCTTCTTTTCTTGCTTGCTTCCCTTCCCTCTTTCCAGCCCTAAGAGGTCCCCACAATGTGTCCATGTTTCCCTTTGTGGATCTTTCCTTTTCTTTCTTTCCCTTCTTCTTTCTTTCTTTCTTTCTTTCTTTCTTTCTTTCTTTCTTTCTTTCTTTCTTTCTCTCTTTCCAGCCCTAAGAGGGCCTCACAATGTCTCTCTTTGTGGATCTTTCCTTGCTCCCCTTCCCTTTCTCTTTCTCCCCTCGTACCTTTTCCCCTTTCTTTTCCTCCTTCTCTTTTTCTTTCTTACGACTCCCTTCTCCTTTCCCTTCTTTTCTTTCTTCCTTTCCCCCTTCCTTTCCCTCTTTCCAGAAGGCCTCAAAATGTCTCCATGGCTCTCTTTGCGGATCTTTCTTTCTTTCCTTCCTTCCTCATTTACTTTCTCTTTTTCTCCCTCCCCTTATACTTTTCCCCCTATTCTTTTCTCTCACTTCCCTTTTTCTTTCTTCGCCCTCCCTTCTCCTTTCCTTTCCCTTCCCTCTTTCCAGCCCTAAGAGGGCCTCACAATGTCTCCATGGTTCTTTTACAGTTCTTTCTTTCCTTCCTTTCTTCCTTCCTTCCTTCGTACTTCTCTCCCTCCCTTCCTTGCTATCTCTCCCTTTCCTCTTTCCCTCCTTCATTCCTTCCCTTCCCTCCCTTCTTTCTTCTTCCTCTTTCCCTTCTTCCCTCCCTCCCTCTCTTCCTCTCATACACATGTCACTTTTCTTTCCCGGTGACATCACAGAGGGCCACTTCACCTAGCAACAGCCTTTGTAGTACACACACACATACACATGACATGGTGCTTTCAAGAATGTGAATATATATTATTGTTGTTTTGGACTGTTATTTTATGACATTTTATACTTATTATCGATGTATTTGGATTGTTGTTTACATTATTGTTGTTTTGGACTGTTATTTTATGACATTTTATACTTATTATCGATGTATTTGGATTGTTGTTTACATGATTCTAATATGTTGTAAGCCACTTTGGGTCCCATAAGGGAGAAAAGCAAGATATAAATAAAGATTTATGATGATGATGATGTTTATGTTTACTTCCCACTGACCCCTGGGAAGTAGCCTCACCTGTCTGGAAGAGGCTCAGTTCGCACTCCAGGTAGTCAAACATCTCCACGGTAAGCTGGAAACTGACAGAAAGAGAGAGACTCAGAACAGGGGAAAAACCAATGCCGAAAAAAGCGCAGATGGGGGTTGGACTGGATGGCCTTTGGGGTCTCCTCCAACTCTAGAAGCCTAATAATAATAATAACAACAACAACTACTACAATAATAATAATGTCATTCTATCTTCCTGCCTGGCAGAAGAAAGTTGGACTGGATGGCCACTTGGGGTCTCCTCCAACTCTTGGAGCCCAATAATATTAATATTAATAATAATAATAATAATAATAAGAAGAAGACAGATAAATAATATTATTTTCCTGCCTGGCCTTTGGGGTCTCCTCCAACTCTAGAAACTTAATAATAATAATAATAATAATAATAATAATTATTATTATTATTATTATTATTAAGTTTCTAGAGTTGGAGGATATATAATAATAATAATAATAATAATAATAATAATAATTATTATTATTATTATTATTATTATTATAGATAATATTATCTTCTTGCCTGGAAGAATGGGGTTGGACTGGATGGTCATTTGGGGTCCCCTCTTGGAGTCCAATCATAATAATTATAATAATAATAATAATAATAGATAGATAGATGGATGGATAGATAGATAGATAGATAATATTATCTTCCTGCCTGGAAGAATGGGGTTGGACTGGATGGCCATTTGGGGTCCCCTCCAACTCTAGGAGTATAAGAAGAAGAAGAAGAAGAAGAAGAAAAAGAAGAAGAAGAAGATAGTGTCCAATGTATGATCCCATACAACAGTCAACATAGTGATCTTGTTTGTTGTATTTCAAATAATAATAATAATAATAATAATAATAATAATATAGTAATTCTATCTTTCCTTCCTGGCAGAATGGGGTTAGATAGCCTTTGGGGGTCCCTTCCAACTCTAAGACTCTATAACAATGACAATGCTAATGCTAATAATAATAATATCATCTCCCTGTCTGGTAGAAAGCAGCTTGGAATGGATAGCCACTTGGGGTTTCCTCCAACTCTAGGGTTCTAATAATAATAATAATAATAATAATAATAATAACTTTATTGCAGTCCATGGACCCACAACTGTTAAATAAATAATAAACATTCAGGAGTTCATAGATCCCTTGTAACCAGGGATAATAATAATAATAATAATAATAATAATAATAATAATAATAATAATAGATAACAGAATGGGGGTAAACTAGATGGCCTCTAGGGGTCCCTTCCAACTATAGGACCCTAATAATAACAATAATTATGATTATGATTATGATAATAATAATAATAATAATAATAATAATAATAAAGTAATTGTATCCCAATTGATTCCCCCAAAGCAAAGTGCCAGGGTAATAATAATAATAATAATAATAATAATAATAATAATAATAGGTAGATAGATAGATAGATAGATAACACAATGGGGGTGAACTAGATGGCCTCTAGGTGTCCCTTCCAACTATAGGACCCTAATAATAACAATAACAATGATAATAATAACAATAATATAATAATTGTATCCCAATGGATTCCCCCAAAGCAAAGGGCCAGAGCAATAATAATAGATAGATAGATAGATAGATAGATAGATAGATAGACAGAATGGGGGTGAACTAGATAGCCTCTAGGGGTCCCTTCCAATTATAGGACCCTAATAAAAACAATAATAATAATGATAATAGTAATAATAATAATATAGTAATTGTATCCCAATGGATTCCCCCAAAGCAAAAGGCCAGGGTAATAATAATAATAATAATAATAATAATAATAATAATAATAATAATACAAGTTGTTGACGTCGTTCTCGCCCGTCTCGTCCAGCTGCCTGTCTGACATCTGGAGGTTTCCGGGGAAGCGGGGGTTCTGGGCAAGGGAAAAAAGGAAGAGGTTACGCGAGGACAACAGAGAGAGGAGTGCCCACCTCTCAGCTGCAAAAAAATGCGTAAGCCTGGGCTTCCTTTCCTTTCCTCTTTGCCCAGGGCTCTCCCTCTCTCCCTCCTTCCTTCCTTCCCTCTCTCTCTCAGAACAAACAGACGCTCCGCCAGAGCCAGGCTTCCTCTTGCTCCATCCAGACGGATTCCTTTCTATAAATACTCGCCTTCCTTCCCTCCCTCCGCTCCCAAAACACGGGGCACTGCCACGGCCAGAATGCAAAAGCCGGTGGCTCCACACCCAAATAACACACTGATGTGGGTGTTGTTACTGGGTGCTTTCGAGTCATTTCCAGCTCATGGGGCTGCTCAAAAAAGAGAGGCCGTTGCCTTCCTCCAACACACCTGGCCATTCAAACAATAACAATATCAATATCAATATTGCTACTAATAATAATAATATTGATGGCGCGAGGCAGGCCAAAAACGTAGCTTAAATACTTGTCTCTTTTTCTATCTATTCATCCATCCATCCTCTTTCTTTCTTGTCTGTCTATCCATCCATCCATCCACTTGTCTCTCTCTTCCTCTCTTGTTTGTCTATCTATCTATTTGTCTGTCTGTCATCCATCCATCCATCCATCTATCCATTGATCTATCCAATATCTCTCTCTCTTGTCTGTCCATCCATCCATGCATACATCTATCCACTTGTCTATCCATTCTCTCTCCCTCTCATCTGTCTCTGTCTGTCTGTCCATCTATCCATCCTAATCTCTCTCATCTATCTTTCTATCTATCTATCTGTCTATCTTCCTATCGATCGACCAACCAACCAACCTATCTATTATCCTATCTCTTTCTCTCTGTGTAACCCTCTGTCTGTCTATTATCTACCTACCTACCTAACTTCATACCTAATTTCCTATCTATCTATAAAAATCTCCAGCAAGCCTGCAAAGAATGAGGACGTACTTCATCAGTGTCACAAATGGATGGTGAAGCAACAGCTCCCCTGGTGGCCAGAATCCCCTCATGAAGCTGGAATGTTAAATAGCCTCTGTGTGTCTGTCTATATATGTTGTGTGTCTACGGCTTTGAATGTTTGCCATGTATGTGTACATTGTAATCCGCCCTGAGTCCCCTGCAGGGTGAGAAGGGCAGAATATCAATACTGTAAATAAATAAATATCTACCTTCCTAAAAATCTATCCATCCATCCATCCATCCATCCATCCACTCATCTATGCATCATCTCCCTCATCTGTCTGTCTGTCTGTCTGTCTGTCTATCTATCTATCTATCTATCTATCTATCTATCTATCTATCTATCTATCTATCTTCCCATCCATCTTTCTATCAATCAATCGATCAATCAACCAACCAACCAATCTACCTTCTTATCTATCCACCCATCCATCCGTCTTGTCTGTCCGTCTACCTATCTACCTTCCTATATATTTATCCATCCACTCATCTATGCATCCTCTCCCTTGTCTATATCTCTACCTACCTACCTACCTACCTACCTACCTACCTATCCTCCTATTCATCTTTGTATCGATCAACCAACCTACCTACCTTCCTGTCTCTGTCTGTCTGTCTATCTACCTACCTACCTTCCTATCTATCCATCCATCCATCCACTCATCTATCCACCCTCTCCCTTGTCTGTCTACCAACCTACCTACCTACCTACCTTCCTATCTATCTATCTGACTGCCTGTCTACCTACCCACCTACCTACCTACCTTCCTGTCTATCCATCCATCCACTCATCTATGCATTCTCTGTCATCTATCTATCTATCTATCTATCTATCTATCTATCTATCTATCTATCTATCTATCTATCGTCCTATCAATCTTTGTTTAAATTGATCAACCAACCTACCTTCCTATCTGTCTATCTACCTACCTATCCATCCACTCATCTATACATCCTCTCCCTTGTCTGTCTGTCTGTCTGTCTGTCTGTCTTTATCTATCTATCTATCTATCTATCTATCTATCTATCTATCTATCTTCCTATCTAGTGATCGATTAACTGACCTACCTTCCTATCTATCTATCTGCCTGCCTGTCTACCTACCCACCTACCTACTTATCTATCCATCCATCCACTCATCTATGCATCCTCTCCATCCCTTGTCTGTCTGTCTGTCTATCTATCTATCTATCTTTATTTCTTTCTTTCTTTCTTTCTTTCTTTCTTTCTTTCTGCTATTTTTCCTTCCTTCCTCCCTATCTATCTATCCATCCCATCCGACCCACCCACACACCCATCCATCCATCCATCCATCCATCCATCCTCTCATCTATGCCTCCTCTCCCTTGTCTGTCTGTCTGTCTGTCTGTCTATCTATCTATCTATCTATCTATCTATCTATCTATCTATCTATCTTCCTATCTATTGAGCGATTGATCAACCGACCTACCTTCCTATCTGTCTGTCTATCTACCTACCTTCCTATCTATCCATCTATTCATCCATCCCCCCCATCTGACTAGGCCAGGCCTGCTAGCAGAGCGAGGTCTTCCACTGCGACCTAAGTTGCGGCATTTCCAAAGGAAGGAGAGGAAGCTTACTTTGGTGTGAAATTCCATCTTGGTCCTCAGCAGCTTGAGGTAGACGCTGCACAGCTGGCCGTAGCCTTCGCTCAAGTGGCCCTGAGGAGGGAGGGAGGGAGCGAGGGAGGGAGGAGAACAAAGGGACCTCAATGGGGGAATGAATGTGGGAGTCTCCACCTCGGCCTCCCCATGCTTGCGCCTCCCACTCACCCACATCCGACTCATGTCGCTCAGCTCACTCTTGAACCTCACCGAGTCCTTCAAGACCTGTGGAGAAAGAGGAAGAGAAGTGTGGAGTGCGAGGGAGTGGGTGGGCCTTCAAGAAGGAGGTGGGGTCTTCGGGAAGGAGGTGGGATCCCACATAAAAGCAGATGGAAAAATTCTCTGGTGAGATATCAAGGCTGAAGCAGATAAGTGAGGGAGCATATATATACAGCCTGCCAGATTTCAGTGGGTTCAACTGGTCTTCAATGCTTACATTGGGGTGCCCATCGCGTAGGAGTTTGTGGAAGACGTGGCAGAACTTCCAGCAGAGGACGGCGTTGCTGGAGAGCGGCAGGCGGTTGACGGCCGACCAGAAAGTGTGGGCTCCTTTCTCATGGTGCGTGCCCAGGATGCAGGGTGCCAGCGGGGAACAGCGCTAAGGAAAGTCAGGCAGGGTGATGGGAGGGAGGGTGGCCTTCCCATGGAACCCGGTGGGACAAATAGAGGGATGGCGGTCCGCACTCTCCTTCCTTCCTTGCTTCCCTCTCTGTGTGTCCTTTGCCCTCACTGAACCTCCCAGGGTAGGAGGAGAGGAAAAGGAAGGGAGGAAAAAGAGGAAGGAAGGAGGGAGAAAGCAAACAGGATGAAAGAAGGGGAGGAAAAGGAGGGAAGGGAAGAAAGAAGGAAGGAAGGAGGGAAGAAAGGAACAGGTGGAAAGGAAGGAAATAAATAAATGTTTTGAAATATCTCCTAGATAGAGATATAGATAACTAAAGTAGTAGTGAGTAATAACTATATTATTATTAGTAGTAATAGTAGTAGTATGTTTTCAATGTTTTGACATATCTCCTAGATAGAGAGACAGATATCGAAAAGAGAGGTGCTTAATACATAAATTATTGTTATTATTATTATTTAAATGTTTTGCTATATCTCCTAAATAGAGATACAGATAACGGAAGGAGAAGCAGGTAATATATTATTATTATTATTATTAATTATTATTATTAATAACTAGCTGTCCCCTTGCCACGTGTTGCTGTGGCCCAGTCTGTATATATGTGTTTTGTGTGTATATATATGTATATATATATATATATATGTTTGTGTATATGTGTGTTTGTGTAATATGTGTTTTTGCGCATGTGTTGTAATGTATTTTTGTTATTTGGCCCTTTAAGCCCCTACCACTGTGTTTTTCAGTGTTTTTATGAGTGATGGTCACTTGTTGGCCTGAGAGGTGTCTTGTGTCCAAATTTGGTATCAATTTGTCCAGTGGTTTTTGAGTTCTGTTAACCCCACAAATGAACATTACATTTTTATTTATATAGATATTAAATTAATATTAATATTATTTAATAAATAATAATATATTATTTAATAATACATATTATATTATTATAATGTATTATTTTATTATAATACAATATATAATAATATATTATTTAACATATTCTATAATATATATTAATAATATATTATTATTTATTAATAATATATTATATTATTATAATGCATTGTTATATTATTATATATTATATATATTATATATAATAATATAATATATATTAAATAATAATATATTATTTAATATATTATATAAATAATATGTTAAATAAATAAATAATAATAATTGTGATGATGATAATGACAATACTGCTGTTTTATATGTTTTTGAAACAAAGTTAAATTGATTATATAGAGGGGGGGGGGAAGAATATGGGAAGGAGAAAGGGATGGCAAGAGTGACTCTGGTCCTATAGAACCCTGTAAACCTTGAACACAGAGGAAGGGCTGTCTTGTCTTGGTGCATGTGCAGAGTGCATTCCCCTCCCCCCATCTAATATGGATCCTTCCGGAAACTATATGCTCCAGCCTTCTCCTGAAAGGATATTCCTGGCATGCTTCTCCTTGACCGCCACTTCCTGAGCGTTGATGGCCTTGTTGATGCTGACTGTCTGGAAAAGAAAGAAAATTAAAAAAAAAGGTCAGGAGGAAAGATTGTGGCTCTGGGGATTGTAGGAATTCTTGACAGGAAACAATCAGGGCCAGCTATCAAAAGATCCCGCCCTGGGCAGGAAGCAGCCAGGCTTTGAAGCTGCAAGGCTCTTAGATGCTAATCAAGCTGGCCAATGGCAACATTAATTGTCAAACAGGCAAGAGTTTTTTTCTCCCACCCTGAACATCATTCTACTAAACTTCCCATGCCTAGTTTCCAACAGACCTCACAACCTCTGAGGATGCCTGCCATAGATGTGAGTGAAACGTCAGGAGAGAATGCTTCTGGAACATGGCCAGGCAGAGATGCGGATCAGTAGATGGATAGAACGTCAAGAGAGAGAGATGAATGGTAGAGGGATGGAGAAATAAGTAGATAGATGATGGATGGATAGAAAGGTAGATAGGTAAGTGAATAAATAAGTAAAGAGGGAGAGATGAATATAGAGCTGGAAGAATGGATGGGGGAAGAAGTGGATCAATAAGTAGATGACAGAGGAAGACAGAGAAAGAGAGGGCTAGTAAGTAGGTAGAAAAAGAGAGAATAGAATAGCACATGGTACAGCATGCAACAAAATTAAATGCACGTTCTATAGGCAGAATTACAAAAACAAAAGGACCCATCCTTCTACACTCCCATTGCTATTGCACAACCCCATAATGCCACATTAGTGTGAATCCATATTCAATATAATCACAGCTCTAGTAGAATAAAAACCCTCCATCAGCCTATTTGTCCTTGTTTTTTTATCCTATTATTATTATTATTATTATTATTATTATTATTATTATTATTATTAGATACATAGAGTTGGAAGGGAGATCCTGTCTAAGCCACCTGCTGCCAGGCAGGAAGATAGAATTACTATTATATTATGTTATTATTATTATTATTATTATTATTATTATTATCGTTCAATTATTGTAAAATAAAAAAATTATAAACAAACTCCTAGAGCTGGAAGAAATCCCCAAGACTATACAGTCCACCCCACTATATTATTATTATTATTATTACTACTACTACTACTACTACTACTATTTACTATTATTATTATTAGACTCCTAGAGTTGGAAGAGACCCCCAAAGCCATCCTGTCCACTCCTATCATTATTATTATTATCATTATTAATATTATTATCATTATTATTATATCATTACTAGCAGTCCCCTGCCACGCGTTGCTGTGGCCCAGTCTGGTGATCTGGAAAATAAAGTAATGAGAAATGTTTGTTTCAAATATATGTAATTTCTTTATGCTTGTGGGTAAACAGTATTTCTTGTTGTTTCTCTGTCAGTGTTGAGAGTGTCTGGTTTGCCTACTCTGGAATATACAACATATCATAGACCTTCTTTAAGAGTCTCTTTCAAATCTATGATACTATATCTGTGTGTGTGAGAGAGAGAATCATATCTATCTATATCTCTGGCTGGATGGCTCTTTGTCAGGAGGGCTCTGATGACATTTTCTTGCCCTGGTGAAGAGAGTTGGACTAGATGGCCTTAAGTATTTTCTGTTGGTCATGGGGGTTCTGTGTAGGAAGTTTGCCTCATTTCTGTCATTTGTGGGTTTCAGAATTATCTTTAATTGTAGTGAACTATAAATCCCAGTAACTATAAATCCCAAATCTCAAGGTCTATTTCCTCCAAACTCCATCTGAGTTCATATTTAGGCATATGGAATATTTGTGTCAAGTTTGGTCCAGATGCATCATTGTTTGAGTCCACAGTGCTCTCTGGATGTAGGTGAACTACAACTCCCAAACTCAAGGTCAATGCCCACCAAACCCTTCCAGTGTGTTCTGTTGGTCATGGAAGTCCTGTATGCCATGTTTGGTTCAATTCCATCATTGGTGGAGTTCGGAATGCTCTTTGATTGCAGGTGAACTATAAATCCCAGCAACTACAACTCCCAAATGTCAAGGTCTATTTCCCTTAAACTCCCTCTGTGTTCATATTTGGGCATATGGAATATTCTTGCTAAGTTTGGTCCAGATCCGTCATTGTTTGAGTCCACAGTGCTCTCTGGCTGTGGGTGAACTACAATTCCCAAACTCAAGGTCAATGTCCACCAAATCCTTCCAGTTTTTTCTGTTGGTCATGAGAGCCCTGTGTGTTAAGTTTGGCCCAATTCCATCATTGGTGGAGTTCAGAATGCTCTTTGATTGTAGGTGAACTATAAATCCCAGCAACGACAATTCCTAAATGACAAAATCATATTTTTTTTGAGTGGAGGACATACATTGGATTGTTAGGTGTCTTGTGTCCAAATTTGGTGTCAATTCCCCCAGTGGTTTTTGAGTTCTGATGGTATCACAAACTAACATTACATTTTTATTTATATAGATTAGACCCCCTAGAGTTGGAAGAGACTCCCAAGGCCACCCAGTCCATGCCATCATCATCATCATCATCATCATCATCATCATCGTTCCATTATTATACATGTAAAATAAAATAAAAATAATAAAATAATTAGTACTCCTAACGCTGGAAGAAATCCCCAAGGCCATCCAGTCCATCCCCACTATATTATTATTATTTCATTATTAGACTCCTAGAGTTGGAGGAGACCCCCAAGGCCATCCAGTCCACCCCTATTATTATTATTATTATTATTATTATTATTATATCATCATCATCATCATCATCATCATCATCATCATCATCACCATTAGACTCCTAGGGTTGGAAGAGACCCCAAAGGCCATCCACTGGATTATTATTCTATAATTATGATTATATTATTCTATAATAATATTACTATTTTCCTGCCTAGCAGAAGGGGGTTGGACTGGATGGCCCTTTGGTCCCTTCCAACTCTAGGAGTCTAATACTACTATTACTACTAATAATAATAATTGATAATAATAACAACAATAAATAGTAAAATAATAATAATATTATCTTGAGAATGAGGATGGAATCGTCTTCCCTGGAGGCTTTGTAACAGAGGCTGGATGGCCATCTGCCAGGAGGGCTTTGATTGTGGTTTTCCTGCCCGGCTTTGAGATTTGTCTTTGGTATCGAAGGGGCTTTCTTGCACAAGGCCTGGACCAAAGAGCAGCAGGAGAGGTCAAGGATCTTGCAACACTGACCACAAGCTTCCTCTCCAAGGAAGAAGAAGAAGCTGCTCTGTAGCTGCCTCCGCCTCTGGGTTCAGTTCCCTATTTTGAGCACAGAGCAATGCAAAGGGAGCACTTTGGTGATGCTTTTCCTTCAGACAGCAGAACGGGGTTGGACCGGATGACCTTTGGGGTCCCTTCCAACTCTAGAAGGACAATAATAATAATACTAATACACAGATAATAATATTATCTTCCTGCGTGGCAGAACGGGGTTGGACTGGATGGTCTTTGGGGGTCTCATCCAACTCTAGGAGGCCAATAATAATAATAATAATAATAATAATAATAATAATAATAATAATTTTTATTTTAAAGATGTTTGACACAGCTCCCACCCTCCACCCGCTTCCCCCAGACATACAATTTACACCCAATAAACATACAATAAACTACAGAAATTACATTTGAAATATCAGTTTTAATCTCAATTTTTCCACTCCACATCTAAATGCATTCCCTAAATAATTCTTAATGGGATCCCACATACTCTTAATTATTATAACATATTCTATGTTGTCTATATTGCTCAATTTACAATTTGTTATCTGGTTTTAGAGAGAGTTGGAAAGATGAAACAACAACAGCATAGTGATTTTGTTTGCTGTGTACTAATCTTGTTATGTATCTAATAATAATAATAATAATAATAATAATAATAATAATAATGTAATTCTAATTGGCAGGAGGTCAGACTGGATGGCCTTTGAGGGTCCCCTTCCAACTCTAGAAGTCTAATATAAATAAATTATATATGTATGTGTGTGTGTGTGTGTGTGTGTGTGTATATATATATGTATATATATATATAGTGGTATAGTACAATATAGTAATATATACTATTGTGCTATGCTAATAATATAATATATTGTATATACCTAAAATATTAATAACATAATATATATACCATACATATAATATTGATAATATTATAATGTAATACAAAATAATAATAATAATACAATATAATATATATATTATATACTATAATATAATATTGATTATATTTAATGTACTGCAATATAATAATAATACAATATAATATATATATACTATAATATAATATTGATAATATTTAATGTAATGCAATATATTATAATGTAATACAAAATAATAATAATAATATATTATATACTATACATATAATATTGATATTATTTAATGTACTGCAATATAATATTATAATGGAATACAAAATAATAATAATATATACTATACATATAATATTGATAATATTTAATGTACTGCAATATAATATTATAATGGAATACAAAATAATAATAATACAATATAATCATATCTAATAATAATATTCTGATATACTAATACGAATCTATTAAATGTAGTTACTACTGATACTATACAGGTGGTTGTGAGTTTTCCAGGCTGTCTGGCCATGTTCCAGAAGCATTCTCTCCTGACGTTTTGCCCACATCTGTGGCGGCCGGGTGTCCTCAGAGGTTGTGAGGTCTGTTGGAAACTAGGCAAGTGATAATATATAATGATAATACCATTTTATGATGGTATATTTGCATATTTGAAATTGTCACGTTTTGGATCGTGAGCCGCTTTGGAGTAATACATACACAGATAGATAGATAGATAGATAGATGATAGATAGATAGATAGATAGATAGATAGATAGATAGATAGATAGATAGATAATATTGTCTTCCTGGCTCAGTGCCTCTCCTTCCTTCCTTCCCGGCACTAATTGGGGATTTCGGCTGTGATGTCACCGGCAGCCAATCAGGGAGGGGCAGGGACTCCCCTCTGTCCCCCTCCCCATTTCGGAAGAGGGCGCTTCCCCCAAGAATGGAGGATGGAGGAAGAGGAGGAAGAAGAGAAGGAAGAAAACGATGAGAATGAGGAGGAAGAAGGGATGGGGACGGGGTCTTCCCCGAAGGAAGAAAATAGAAGGAAGAGGAGGAAGGGCAGAGGAAAGAAGAGGAGGGGAAGGGAGGAAGGAAGAAGAGGAGGAATAGAAGGAAGAGGAGAAAGAAGAGAAGGAAGAGAAACGGGATAAGGAGGAGGAGATTCCCCAGATGGAAGGAGGGAGAAGCCTTCCACCTCTTCCTCCTCCTCCTCCTCCTCCTCCTCCTCCTCCTCCTCCTCCTCTTCTCTTCTTCCTCCTCCTCCTCATCTTCTTCTTCCTTCTCTTCTTCCTCCTCCTTCTCTTCTTCCTCTTCATCAGAGGGACCCGGCTGCTTCTGACTTACCGTCTTGCCCACCTCCATGGTCCTCCTTCCCTTCCTCGGGCGACTGCGGGGCGGATGCCCATGCCCGGCCCACCCTCTTCCTCTTTCTCCTCCTCCTTCTCCTCCTCTTTCTCCTTCCCTCCTTCCTTCCTCTTCCAGGCGCTGCTGCTGCTCCTGCTGCCGTGCACCATCATCTCATCAGAAGCAAGCTAGCAAGCGGGGGCGCGCCTGGGAGGACAAAAGGCCGTTGGGAGGGGAGGAAGGAGAAGAAGAAAGGAGAGGAGGGGGAGAAAGGAAGGAAGGAAGAGTGAAAGGGATTCCCTGCCCCAAAGGCAGCAAAATAAAGAGACAATGCAAAAGGTCCCCCAGGCTGTAGGGAATATAGCTCCCCTAAAGGCATCCTTTCTTCTCTTACTGTTTCCCATCTTCCTTTCTCCTTTCCTTCCCTTTCTTACTTCCTTCTCTCCCTTCCCTCTGTTTCCTACCTCCTCCTTTTCTCTATTTCGCTGTTTTCTCCCTCCCTTTCTTTTCCTTCCCTCTGTTTCCTACCTCCCTTTCTCCCTTCCTTTCTTCTCTTTCTGGTTCCTATCTTCCTTCCTACCTCCTTTCCCTTTGTTTCCTTTACCCCATCCTTCCTTCCTGCTTTCCCTTCTCCTCTCCCTCCCCTTTCTTTTTTCTTTCTCCCTTTCTTCTCTTCCCTCTTTTTTCTACCTCCCTCCCTTTTCTTTCTATTTCCTACCTTCCTTCCTTCCCTTTCTGTTTCCTATCTCTCTTCCTTCCTTCTTCTTCTTTTCTTCCTTCCCACTGTTTTCTACCTCCCTCCCTTTCTTCACTTCCCTGTTTCCTAACTCTATCCCTTTCTCCCTTCCTTCCCTGTTTCCTACCTCCCTTTCTCCCTTCCTTTCTTCTCTGTTTCCTATCTCCCTTCCTTCTTTTTCTTTCCTATCTCTCTGCCTTCTTCCCTGCTTTCCTTTCTTCTTTCCCATCCCTCTGCTTTCTACCTCCCTTTTGTTTTTTCTTTCTCCCTTTCCGCTATTCCCTTTTTTCTCCTTCTTTTCTTTCGTTCCTTTTCTTTCTATTTCCCACCTTCCCTTTTTCTTTCTTCTCTTTCCGACTTCCCTCCTTTTCTTCCTTCCTTCCCTTCTTCTCTCCCTTTCCTTTCTGTTTTCTACCTTCCTACCTTTCTTTCCTTATCCCTTTTTTTACTTCCCTGTTTTCTACCTCCCTCTTTTCTTCTCTTCCTCCCCTCTACTTCCTACTTCCCTTCCTTCCTTCTCTTTCTCTCTTTCTTCCTTCCTTCTTTTTCCTTTCTTCTTTCCAGTTTCCTCTCTCTCTCCTTTCCTTCCTTCCTTCTCTGTTTCCTACCTGCTTCTCTTCCTTCCTTTCTTCTCTCCCTTCCCTTTCTGTTTTCTACCTCCCTACCTTTCTTCCCTTCCTTCCCTCTATTTCCTACTTCCCTCCCTCTCTTTGGTGAGACCACCAAAGAAAAAGAAAACATTGGGGAGCATCAATTCGATGCTATAGAAGAGACCTAGGCTAACTAAGGCCCTCCAGGTGTTTTGGACTTCAACTCCCACAATTCCTAGCAGCCGGTAGGCTGCTAGGAATTGTGGGAGTTGAAGTCCAAAACACCTGGAGGGAAGGCCCAAAAGATAAGCATTAGATTGGAGTAAACAGGGTATTATTGAGCAGCCTGGCCTCCTCCTCCTCCTCCCTTGGCTTGCCATCCAACCCACTGACCCAGTTTTATGGCTCCCGCAGGGCTTCCTTCCTTCCTCCACAGGGAAGGGAGGGAGGGAAGAAGGAAGGGAGGGTGGAAGTCCTATCTGCCCAGAAGACCAAGGGCAAAAGGGAAAGAAGGCTCTGCGCCAGGAAAGAAGGGGAAAGAGCCCTCGCCCTGCTTTCGCCGCCATCGATCCGGTTATTTTTAGTCTCCTTTCCGGCCAGTTTGTTCTTGCCAGGCAGCCCAGGATCCGAGCAGAGACTGGGAACGGCTTAGGAAGGAAGAAAGGAAGGAAGGAAAGAAGGAAAGCAGGAGGGAGAGCAGGAAGGATTGATAGGCAGATAGATAAATACATGGATGGAAGGAAGGCTGGATAGGAGGGAGGGAGGAAGATAAGACAGGAGGGAAGGAAGAAAGGAAAAAGGAAGGAAGGAGGGTGGGAAAGGAGGGAGGAAGGCAGGAAGGAAGGAAGAAAGAAGGAGAGGAGGGTGGGAAAGAAGAAGAGAGGGATAGGAGGAAGGGAGGAGGAAAGGAGGAGGGAAAAAGAAAGGAAGGAGGGTGGGAAAGAAGGAGAGAGGGAGAGGATGGAAGAAGAAAGGAGGAGGAAGGAAAACAGGAAGGAGGAGGGTGAGAAAGAGGAAAAGAGGGAGAGGAGGGAGAAAAAAGGGAAGGAGGGAAGGTGGGAAGGAAGGAGAGAGGGAGAGGATGGAAGGAAGAAAGGAGAGAGGAAAAAGGGAAGGAAGGAGGGTAGGAAAGAAGGAGAGAAGGAGGGAGAGGATGGAGAAAGGGAGAGGGAAGAAGAAGGAAAAAAGGAAGGAAGGAGGGTGGGAAAGAAGGAGGGAAGGAAGGAAAAAAGGAAGGAGGGTGGGAAAGGAAGGAGGTAGGCAGCGAGGGAGGGAAGGAAGGAAGGAAAAAAGGAAGGAAGGGGGGTGAGAAAGAAGGAGAGGAGGAAGGAAGGAAAAAAGGAACCTCTGAGGATGCCTGCCACAGATGCAGGCGAAACGACAGGAGAAAATTCTTCTAGAACATGGCCATAGAGCCCGAAAAACCTACAACAACCCAACAACAACAATTTACTTGCCTCTTGTTATTGCTCGAGTGGGGGACAACATAACTTAAATTCCCATATTCCTATCTATCTATCTATCCATCCATCCATCCATCCACTAACCCATCCTCTATCTCAGCCATCCATCCTTTCAGTCTGTCTATCTATATGTCTGTTGTCTGTCTATCTATATATCATATATTGTTTATTTATTTATGATATTTCTATGCCGCCTTTCTCAAGCCTGAAGGCAACTCAAGGCGGCTTACAAATTGGCAGCAATTTGATGCCATAACAATCTATCTATTCATCCATCCATCTAGCTTTATCAATCTGTCTATCCAATCATCTATCCACCCTCTATCATCTATTTTTCTTATCTATCTATCTATCTATCTATCTATCTATCTATCTATCTATGTCAGTCATTTATCCTTCCAGTCTGTCTATCTGTATGTCTAAATCAACTATCTATTATCGATCTTTATTGTCTATCCATCCACTCATCTATATCTATCTAACTATCATTCTGTCTATCTTTAGCATTATCAATCTATCTATCTATCCACTCGTCTATCCATCCTCTATCTATTATCTATCTTTATCATGAATCTATCCATCCACTCCTCTTTCTATTTATCTATCTCAGCCATTCATCCCTCCAGTCTGTCTGTATATCATCTATCTAGAAATCCATCCACTCATCTATCCATCCTCTATCTATTATCTATCTGTATCATCTATCTGTCTATCCACTCATCTATCTATCTATCTATCTATCTATCTATCTATCTATCTATATCTCTGTCTTTATCTCTCTCTATCTATCTATCCACTATCTATCTTCACCATCTATCCAGTTTCTCTGTGTGTCTATCCATCCACTCGTCAATTCATCTTTTATCTATCTATCTACCTCAGCCGTTCATCCTTCTAGTCCGTCTATCTGTCTGTCTGTCTTATCAATCCATCCACTCATCTATCTATCTATCTATCTATCTATCTATCTATCTATCTATCTATCTATCCACTCATCTATCCATCCTCTGTCTATCTGTTATCTATCTTTATCATCTATCTATCTATCCACTCATCTATCCTCTCAATCTGTCTATCGATCTATCTTTATCTCTATCTATCCACTCGTCTATTTATCTTCATCATCTGTCCAGTCTATCTGTGTGTCTATCCATCCACTCATCTATCCATCCTCTTATCTATCATCTGTCTGTGTGTCTATCCACCTATCTATTATCTATCTTTCTCACTATCTATCTACCCATCGTCAATCCATCCTCTCTCTCTCTCTCTCTCTCTCAGCCATTCATCCTTCCAGTCCGTCTATCTGTATGTCTATCTGTCTATCAATCCGTCCACTCATCTATCTATCTATCTATCTATCTATCTATCTATCTATCTATCTATCAATTCATCACTCATCTATCCACCCTCTATCTGTTATCTATCTTTATCATCTATCTGTCTATCTATCCACTCATCTATCCTATCTATCTATCTATCTATCTATCTATCTACTCGTTTATCCATCTTCATCATCTATCCAGTCTATCTGTGTGTCTATCTATCCATCCTATTACCTATCATCTGTCTATGTATCTATCCATCTTCTATCTATCTATTATCTATCTTTACTATCTATCTATCCATCCACTCGTCAATCCTACCTCTATCTATCTATCTATCTATCTATCTATCTATCTCAGCCATTCATCCTTCCAGTCCGTCTATCTGTCTGTCCGTCTATCTATCAGTCCGTCCACTCATCTATCTATCTATCATCTATCCATCTATTCATCAATCCATCCACTCATCTATCCACCCTCTGTCTATCTGTTATCTATCTTTATCATCTATCTATCTGTCTGACTATCCACTCATCTATCCTCTCAATCTGTTTATCATCTATCTATCTATCTATCTATCTATCTATCTATCTATCTATCTATCTATCTATCCATCCACTCGTCTAGCTATCTTCAACATCTATCCAGTCTATCTGTGTGTCTATCCATCCACTCATCTACCTATCCTCTTATCTATCTATCATCTGTCTGTGTAGCTATCCATTTTCTATCTATTATCTATCTTTATCACTACCTATCTATCCATCCACCCATCAATCCATCCTCTATCTATCTATCTATCTATCTATCTATCTATCTATCTATCTATCTCAGCCATTCATCCTTCCAGTCTGCCTATCTAATCGATCAATTGATCATCTATCCTGCCAAACTATTGTGTTTCTATAACCCTTTCGACATCTCCACTCTACAGGAACTGGCGGTCCTGTTGGGGAGGGAATGCTGGGAGATGTAGTCCAGGGATTGCAATTAAGGAAGGAAGGAAGTCAAACTTTATTTCTCTCCCGCCCTATCTCCCCATGGGGGCTCAGGTTGGTTCACAACATAAAAGACTATTGTTCAATACTATATAATACAACAACAGACCAAAACGATTTGAAATGAACACAACAGCGCAATCAACAATAACACTGTCTGGCCAATATTTCACTGGTGGAGCCACAAAGGCCCTCATCGCAGACTCCAAACAAAGGAATTAGGCCTAGACAACAAAAGAGTGTCTTTATTTTAATTATTTATGTTTATTTGTTTGTTTTGCGTATGCCCTTCTTCCTTTGTCCTCTTTGTTTTTGTTCTTTTTGGAACTCAATAAAAATACTTAATAAGGCATGGAGGGCACACTCCTTCCATAACCGTCCCTTGGTAATGTCAAACCATTGCTCGGTTTCCCATGTCTTTAAATAGCCAAGAGATAGAGATAGATAGATATATATAGCCCTGCCGCAGCACTTTGATAGAACTCCAGTCCCAAAGTATCAAAACCTATACATCCACAAATAGCTATAGCTCCCACTACGTAGGAAACACCAAAGTCCCTCCCACCAATGACATTGCAGGTTATTGTGAGTGCCATGAACGTACTGCCCACCAAACGCCATACTGCCCACTACACAAGTGAAAGCTTTCATACAGGGGCAATTTCATCCGAGATTTTATGTGTTTCCTCCACCACAGACACCCCAGTGTTCTTTTCTCTCAATTAGTGTGGAATTTGCATGACCCCACCCACTGCCTCTCCCATAACCCTTTGGGACGAGGATGGACTATGGATGATAGGACTTGCAATACCTTCACTCACTTCCCGAGACCACTGCGACCCTCACGAATTACGGACCCAGACCAAACGTGACACACAGACACCCCATAACCCACTTTACCTCCTGGTGTGGTTTGGGGGAGTATGGACCATGAATGGTGGGATTTACAGTGCTTTTAGAGACCACTGCGACCCCCACGAATGACAGACCTGGACCAAACATGGCATACAGACACTTCATAACCCACTTTACCTCCTGGTGCAGTTTGGGGGAGGATGGACCATGAGTGGTGGGATTTACAGTGCTTTCACTCATTTCCAGAGACCACTGCAACCCCCACGAATGACAGACCTGGACCAAATGTG